TGGTTGTAGCAATGTTGAGGACGGGTTGGGTTGTGACAGGCAGTGGTTGTAGCAATGTTGAGAGACGGGTTGGTTGGGTAGTGACAGGCAGTGGTTGTAGCAATGTTGAAGACGGGTTGGGTAGTGACAGGCGGTGGTTGTAGCAATGTTGAAGACGGGCTGGATAGTGTCAGGCAGTGGTTGTAGCAATGTTGAGGACGGGTTGGGTAGTGACAGGCAGTGGTTGTAGCAATGTTGAGGACGGGTTGGGTAGTGACAGGCAGTGGTTGTAGCAATGTTGAGGACGGGTTGGGTAGTGACAGGCAGTGGTTGTAGCAATGTTGAAGACGGGTTGGGTAGTGACAGGCAGTGGTTGTAGAAATGTTGAGGACGGGTTGGGTAGTGTCAGGCAGTGGTTGTAATAATGTTGAAGACGGGTTGGGTTGGGTTGTGACAGGCGGTGGTTGTAGCAATGTTGAGGACGGGTTGGGTAGTGACAGGCAGTGGTTGTAGCAATGTTGAGGACGGGTTGGGTAGTGTCAGGCGGTGGTTGTAACAATGTTGAAGACGGGTTGGGTTGGGTTGTGACAGGCGGTGGTTGTAGCAATGTTGAGGACGGGTTGGGTAGTGACAGGCAGTGGTTGTAGCAATGTTGAGGACGGGTTGGGTTGGGTTGTGACAGGCGGTGGTTGTAACAATGTTGAGGACTGGTTGGGTAGTGACAGGCGGTGGTTGTAACAATGTTGAGGACGGGTTGGGTTGGGTTGTGACAGGCGGTGGTTGTAGCAATGTTGAGGACTGGTTGGGTAGTGACAGGCGGTGGTTGTAACAATGTTGAGGACGGGTTGGGTTGGGTTGTGACAGGCGGTGGTTGTAACAATGTTGAGGACGGGTTGGGTAGTGACAGGCGGTGGTTGTAGCAATGTTGAGGACGGGTTGGGTAGTGACAGGCGGTGGTTGTAGCAATGTTGAGGACGGGTTGGGTAGTGACAGGCAGTGGTTGTAGCAATGTTGAGGACGGGTTGGGTAGTGACATGCAGTGGTTGTAGCAATGTTGAGGACGGGTTGGGTAGTGACAGGCAGTGGTTGTAGCAATGTTGAAGACGGGTTGGGTAGTGACAGGCGGTGGTTGTAGCTGTGTTTAGGTTGGGTTGGGTTGTGACAGGCGGTGGTTGTAGCAATTTGACAGGACTGGTTGAGCAGGGTTTTGTAGTGACAGGTAGTGGTTGTAACAATGTTGACGACGGCTTGGGTTGTGACAGGCGGTGGTTGTAGTTGTAGCTGAGTTGGGTAGGGTTGTGTAGTGACAGGCGGTGGTTGTAACAATATTGAGGACGAGTTGGGTAGATCGATAGTCTGTCTGCATGGTCGCTCGTTGGCTAGACGAGTCGGTGCCAGTGAGGGCTGTAGTTTTAAAACTTGTATCCTGTTCCTTTTTTTTTTAAATGCACATTCTCCTGATTGCGAAGACTAGATTTCCCATGGACAAAAGCTCCACAGTTCACGCACCGTGGGTCACGAGTTCAAAATGCCCATTAGACTGAGCATAACTCTTGCATAATGGAAACAATGAATCAGCAAGACACATTTTTTTTCCTCTCTCCCACGCCGCCCCCGCCTTATGACTATAGTAGGAATTGTTTTGTCTAACTTGCACTGCTTTGTCTGTCGGCGTTTGCCTCCCAACCAAACACTGCCTGTCCACACCATGCCGACACAAGCGTGGCTTACTGATATACATTTTGTACAATGCAGATAATGCAACTTAGCGCGTTGGCTTACATGCACTGGCCTTACCTGGACAGTTTTAACATCAGTCTTGTTTTGTTATTTACCCTTTTTTAAATTTCATAATGGAGTATTCGCATTATAATACATGTAAAATAGTGGAATTGCGTAAATTAAATAATGCAATATTACACTAACTAACATAACGTTGCATGAGAGCACCACATAGCACACACGCTAAGAGCAATCGCAATGGCTTCAGTCAGTAAAAAAATATGGCCACCACTACTCTAACTGTATCATGTACATTTTTGCTTACGATTTTTAAAAATTATTGTTCCTTCTTGACCGCCTTTTGTTATTGCATGATACTTCCTTCTCCCCTTCTCTCTCTCTCTCCCCCCCCCCTTCTAGAGTTTGTTTCACAGGTTATCTTTCTCCGTCACCCAGTCCTTCCACTTCTCACATCTCTTTGCAAATAACGTATTACGTTTCCAAGAGGCGGCCCACTTGTTTGTTGACAGATCTCCAGTGTTATGTCCCCTGTCGACTGTACTGGTTGTGTCCCCTGCCGGCTGCTCGTTGTGTTATCGTGTTCTGTCACATCCCCTGCCTCTTTCACATTAGCACCCTATCTAAAGCTATCCACTTCTCCTGTACGTTTGATGAGGCCCATTCTTCTTAAACCTTTCATGGCTAACCGGCAACGGCTAAAAGCTGAAACTAAGATTTATAAGTTACAATCTTCATTCTTGTTTTTTTTTTATATTCTTTTCGTTTTTTTTTTTTAGTATTTTGTTCTTTTAGTTTTTTTTTTTTTTTAGAATTTTTTTTTAGTTTTTTTTTTCCCCGAGCCGATGAAATTGAACAATCTGTGTGCTGGCAAGTGAAAGGGTGTAATTTCGTCTACTAAAAAAAAATTGCTAGGCTTAAAATATAAGCACAGGAAGTAATTACCTTTAAATGGCTTTTTGATGTTTTCGTTCGTTTGGTTAGCAAGTTGCAAGCATAAAATAAAACAAAACAACACGTTTTTTTTAAAAAAACATTTAAAGTATCATTGCTGGGTTGGTGGGGGTTTATCACGTGACTGATTGGGTGAACGTTATTTCGTGTGCACAGAGGTACGGGCTGCACCTGGATGGGGGGGGGGGGGGAGACTAGCATAATTTACAGCTGTTTCCTTCTCCCCCGCGCGGGTCAAACACCTGTATGCTGTATGTCTTCGGGTTAAGGGCAGTCGTCGCCGGGCATATCTTGAATGACTTTTAGCTAAATTAAAACTGACAACAGGTTTTACGCGAATGCTTAACTTTGACCCCCTTTCCCGTCGAAGTTGCCCGCCCCCCTTTTTTTTTGCGAACACTAGCAGAAAGTGGGGGGGGGGGGATGGAGGGGGAAGTTTTGTACTTTAACCTGTAACCTGGTCATTGTAACGTGTATGCCACACTTGCTACGTGACACCTGTTATCAGATATAAGCCAGAGTAATAATCTTTACACTTAATGGGTCAGTTAAAGAGCCTCTAATCCTAGCTGGGTCAGTTAAAAAGCCCAACTCTAATCCTACCTGGACCAGTTAAAGAGCCCAACTAACGGCTTTATAAAAATCTTTCACATTGCTTATTGCTACAATATAGTTGCATCATATGTAATTTACTGGTTTTTACTAAGACTTAGCTCATAGCCTAGTTATATTACTATGTTCCTCGTATTGTTTAATCAGCTTTCAAGGTGTATCTTTAATGTGCAAAAGATTTTTTGGGGTTTGTATGCAACTACTCGTTATTAAACTGATTTTAAACTTTCCATTCTATACCAGTTATGTCAATTTATGGATGAATAAACTATTATTAATGTAGTCTGCTTTTTACATTTATAATAATTTTTTAGCTTTGTACACTTGCTACTTTGTACATAATTGGTCTTGATTTTTTTTAGAATGTAGTAATGCAAACTGCGCCATGTTATTAGATGTTAAATTATAAATATTGTGAACATTTTTCCTTGCTTGAAGCTAAGAAATGAATAGCGATCTTCTTTCCTCCCTCCCTACCCCTCACTAGTACTAGTCTTGATCTAATTAGATCTACTAAGCAACTTTTTCTTTTTTTTTTTTACTGCCGATGTTTTTTTTCCAGTAAAATTTTCCCGTGGTCAGGGGAGGTTGTCGGTAACGAAAGGTGTTCAGCAGGCATGTTAAGGGGAGGGGGAGGTAACCACGTGGAAATGTTTCCGCTCCCTCATTGTGAGGCAGTCCGGTCTGTGTGGGCGGGGGAAGGGGGGGGGGATCTTTACATCCCGTCATTTGGCACTCGTTGGCCAGGTGATGTTCCAGTTATTATGGCACTCGCTTTTTGCGCTCGTCTAGGCTGTGGGCATCGTTTCTCACACCTTCGCTTTGGACATTTATACTCTTCTCTATTTCTGGGCCATTTGTCGTTGGAATATAAAAACTTGATGAATGATTGATACGTGTTCAGTGCATTTGGCAGCAATCTTGCATTGCAAAAGTTAGTTGTTTTTTTTAGTATGGTTCAGATCATTCTAAATTTTCTATGATATGTTATTAATTAATTTTTTAAGTATAAATTATGCATTGCATATTAATTGTTAGTTGATACTTTGTATCTAAGGATTGTGTATTGTCAACTTTGATATAACTAAAGGGGTACTTGTTAATCATTTTGGAAATGCAGTGTTGTAATTCACTACAGATTTTTGTCATGGGGCATCTTTTAAAATGAATTAATCAGACCTGAAATTTGTTAGCCAATTAATATTTCTTGTTTTTAGATTCCCACCACCGCATTTACCATCTCAAATTAGTTTTTTTATCTTCATCACAAAAAGATGTTAATACTATAAAATATAGATGTATTGTCTGGTCTGTTATTTTATTTTATTTTAAAGGCATGATTCAATTAACAGTAGTTAACATGTTTCTAGGGATATCAATCCCTCTACCACATTCATTCCACTTGAACTCAAGAGCTTTTTGTTTGGATAGGGATCTGCACATCATTTTATTTTAAAAACAGGATTTAAACTCAAGTGTTCATTTAGAAATTTTATTTAGAACAGTTGTGTTGAGAATAATGGTTAGAGATTGCTTAATATATTTTTAAAACTTAGACTGTTCATTGAAGTTTTTGACAATGTAGATGTTCTTTTTATGTGTTGTGTGTCAGTGTGAATTAAATCTGTATTAAAGTTGTATCCTTTTGAATTTGCTTTATACTCAATGGCAAAGCCTGTGACATATTTTATATAATGGCTAACATTTATTTCTAGAATGGCTAACAATGGCAAGACTCCACTCCAACGATAGTTTGAAGGAAAAACTTCAGGAAGATTTCTTGTCTTGTAAGATATGTCTTGAACCGTTACGGCGCCCAAAGGCCCTGCCTTGCTTGCATTCATTCTGTGAGCTATGTCTCAAGGTAAGGATAAATGTTCTTATGATTTAAATAATAAGTTAAAAATTTCCTACTTTAATCAATTATTTTTAAAGTACTAAATACATAAATATACTTAATTTGTGAGTAAGAAAACTGCATAAAATATCAGTGTGTAATATGGTTCATTATAGGATTATGTCAGACGCAACCCCGGCAATCAGCCAGGCTACTTTCCTTGCCCTATGTGTCGCAAGAGCACACAAGTGCCGCGTATAGGGGTTGAAGGCTTCCCTGACAACTTCATTCTGCTAAGCTTGGCAGACACCATACAAGAGGAAAGTTGGGATCCTCCTGGTGTCAGCAACTATAAGAACCAGACGTCGCCGCCTAGAAACCTGTACCCGCCTTCGCCTAGAGAACAGAGGCACAGGGCTCATGAGTAAGTTACTGGCAATACTTAAATCAGTTCCTACGCATTAGCTATTATAGCCAAGCAGACTTTTTTCATTTCACCACTTTAATTTGTTTTATTTTCGATTATAAACTTATTTTATTCAACTGTAATTCCAAATGCTTACACATTACACTCAATTTCCAGTTGGTATTTCGGAAAAGTGAGCCGAAATGCTTCAGAAGAGTGGCTTCTAGCTCCTGATTATCCTAAGGGAACATTTTTGATTCGTTTAGGAGAGATGTCTCCGGGTACGAACCAAGACTTTTTTTTATTATGCTTGTGCTAAAAGTACATAACTTGGACTTACTATTGTTATATTAGTTAGCTATTTTCTAAAAGGTTGCAACTGTTCATATCTATTCAATTACTCATGGTAGATCTTGTTTTTTAGATACTTATACCCTTAGTGTACGAGACTGTGATGAGCTTCGTGGGTATTTAGTCAAGCACTATAAGATAATCACCAAGAAAACCAATGATGGTAAAGAATGCTACTTCATCACAAAGCAAAGAGTATTTCAGTCACTGCAAGATCTGGTCAAACACTATCAAGGTTTGTTTTCTCTTAAGTTACTTGATTAATTTCAACCATGAACGTAAGAAAAATATTACCAAAAAACATTGTTTTAAGCTTGCGTAAACGGTTTTTTTTTTTTTTTTTATATAAACAATTATTATTCAGTAAATTGCAGAAGGGTATTTTTCACGTTAAATCTATTTGGTTGCAGATTCAGCTGATGGATTGTGTTGTAAACTTGTGTCAACATGTGTCAAACCCCGATCCTTAATATGGGCTATGGAACGTGGTAAAGATGATGAGTTTGTAACAGACAGAAATACTTTGCATCTAATTAAAAAGTTGGGCAGTGGCCAGTTTGCTGAAGTTTGGCTTGGTATGTTTCTCAGAGTTATCTTGTCATAATTATTTCAATAAGCCTTTGGATCATAGATCATTAATTTTAATTAAATTGATGATTGATATTCACTTTTTATTTTTCTTTAAATTTTAGATTAATTTGCTATAAATATTTTAAAATTCTGAAAATTACCTTTTTTTTTTAAAGTTGGGTAATTCCATATTGCCTTTTTAGATTTACAGATTAACATACATAATATCTCGAAGTTTCAACATGATGAAAATAAATGTTATAAGTGCTAGTTTAAAATTACTAAATGTATTTATCTTGAAACTTCCACAATTATTTTCAGCAAAATGGCAAGGCTCAACAGATGTAGCTGTCAAAATACAAAACATTAACTGTGTGACAACTGCAGCATTTCTTGACGAGGCACAAATTTTAAAAACTCTCCAGCACCCAAATATTTTAGAGCTGCGTGGTGTATGCAGTCAAATAGAGCCAGTCTATCTTCTAATGGAATACATGCCCCGAGGGCAGTTGTCTAAATACCTCAGGGAAATGGGAACAAGTCTTGCCCTCTCACAGTTAATACACTTTGGTGCTCAGGTAAGCTTATGAATTTTGATGATGTTTTTTGTTAATACTACAATCAGTCTAGTATTTTACTCAAAAGATAACTTGTTATTCTAACTTCTTTACTGACAAATCGTTTCATAATAAAAACCCAAGCACCTTAAAAGTTGGGTTTTTTTTTACATTTAAGAATAGACTGACTTTCTTTGTTTATAACATAGACTGACTTTCCTTTTTCACAACTTAGATGAGACTGACGTTTGTACTCACAGCAACAATGATTCCTATCACAAAAAACATCACTGCCTTTCACACCACATCATAGTCTAGCAGCGGTTCTTTTTCTTATTTATTGACACCAATTCTTTCAAAACTAAAAAAAATATTCTTATACTTTAACACTGATGATCTGTAATATAATAGTCTTTTCTTTTATGTCGACCATATTTGCTTCTATTAAATATGTTTTTAAATTAACATTTGTTACTCTTTATTGTTACTTAAAAGGTTAGACTGTCGCCTCACCTTGCACATATGCTGCCTATTTTAATAGGTTTAACATATAATATGTATAATTACACATATTATTTCCCTATAACAACAGATAGCAGATGCAATGGCTTACATGGAGAAAGAAAAGTTTGTACATAGGAATCTTGGTGCCCGTAATATACTTGTTGGAGAGAATAACAGAATAAAAGTAGCAGGCTTTGGTATGACTAAAGCAGTGGATGACCCAGACTTCAATTTCAGAAGAGGTGCTTAGATTACTTTTAATTTTTATAATTACTCATTGAATTTAATTTATAATGCAAAGTAGGCCTATCTAGTTTTAAAAGTGCATGCAATTAACCTTTTTACTAGTGCCAAATTTTTAGCCTGCTTTTTTGCATATTGTTTTATTAATTACTAAATAAGCTGGTACTCTACATTGCTCTAGTAAGAGATCAGTAACCCATTTATGGGCTGTGCGGCAAAAACACACAAAGCAACCAACAAAAAAAAAATTAAATTATGCCTTTGATTATTAATGATGATTCTTACATTTAATAAGATAAATCATTTAAAACACTTAATTTCTAATATATTAATGTTATAAGTGCTAGTTTAAAAATAAATCAGAAACATTAGTGTTTTTTAACACTGGGTGTTTTTTTTTTTTAATCTAAAGCAGGATAATGTACTAGAATTATTTCAAACTCATTTAATACCAATATTGAAACTTATTTTTATTAAAAATGTATCATCTAGCTCTATCATATATTTAAAATAATTTAAGGAAAATTTTATTCTGAACTACATTAGTGTTGAATTTTGAAATTTTATTTAATATTTAACAAACTTTCTTGTAAGCGTTTATCTACAATTCATTACTTGAATTTTTTAATAACTTTAAGTATTCCCACTTTTTTATACAGATATTAGAAGACACAAATGTATTTCATTTTAATATAAAAACCTTTTTCACTATTGAAGGTCTGAAAATGGCAATAAAATGGATGGCACCTGAAGTCTTGTTATACAACAAGTACAGCACTAAGGCAGATGTTTGGTCTTTTGGCATAGTCCTAATGGAAATATTTACACAAGGAAAAGAACCATATGAAGGTAAGAAATTATTATTTTTATTATGTTGCCTGAATAATGCTATATGTTCTTTCTATTTGTCTGGTGTACTGTACAGACACTTCCAGTGTTCAATATTTCATCTATGCTCAGTTGTTTTACTGAGTTAGTTTAAAATCATTACATATATATATATAGGTCACAATATCTTAGAGCTGCCATTATCATTTTAATTTTTTTTTCATTTACTTCTTGCAGTTTTTGTGTAGCTTTTGTATTTTTTTGCAATTCTTTTTTAACAACCAAAAAATGGCTTTTTTTTTTTTTTTTGTAAAATAATGTGCCCAAAGTTGTATTTTTTCTAATCTTAGAATAAATCAGTGATTTCGGTAGAAAAACAACTTATTTTCCCAACTGATGCGTAATTTTTTCCATGGAAAAGTTGTTCATTATTTTTGCTTGCATTATTTTTTCAGTAAATAAGTTGCTACTTAAAAATAATATTATTGCAAATTGCACCCAATTACATTTATTTTATTTATGTAATGGGCATATTTTAAAAAGAGGGGAAAAAAACAAGTCCTAAAGAGGAGTGGGTGTTAAAAGACTCAGAGGGAAAACTAATGAAAACTTTGAAATAATTATGGGTAGAAACAATTTAATATTCTTTAATAATTTTTCTTGTATGTATCAAAACATTTAATATTCTTATACACTTTTCAGATAAGGCCAGCAAAGAAGCTTTTGAAAGTGTCCAGGATGGTTATCGCATGTCCAAGCCAGATAACTGCCCACAGGAAGTCTATGATATAATGCTGGCGTGTTGGCAGAGTAATGCTCACTCTCGTCCCTCTTTCGACTTTCTCAACACATTTCTACATGACTTTGAGAGCTGACAGCATTAGAAGTGCTCTGTTTCAAATTTTCATCAACTGGCTTATTTCAAAGCCTAAGCTCTAAGTGTAACCCCAATGCTATGATAAATGCATTGATGGTTTTAATTCCTGATGCACTGTTTGGGAATACTTGCAAAGCAACCAAGGCCTATGGAACGGTTCTAACTGCTGGGGACCTGTAATTGAAAACAAAACACCACCAGGATTGAAATTACTACACAGGACACACCATGATAAGGATAAATTTACCATGCTGTGGTGAAATTAATTTTGCAAATATGACATTCAGGGTACAACACAATGTCATTTATCTCTCAACAAGGAGTAATACAAATACATCATCACCCTTACCATCATCACACAAGTATCTTGTGGTTTTGGTAAAACTTATTCACAAAGTTCAAATTATTTTATTCAAATAACTGAATCAAACCTGAAGAAGGTGATTAATGTAACAAGTAGCATAATGGTTTAAATGAAAAGATTCTTCTTATTTACAAACACATGGAGAACTGAGTAAATATTTCTTTGAAAAAGGTGCGGACTGGAGCTAGTTAAAGATGAATTAAGAATGGCCCAGCCTTCTATTGGCAGTGTAGAAAGTTCAAGATGAGTTAAGAATGGTGCCAGTCTGCTATGGACCATGTAGAAAGATAATCAAGCTAGATAGATATGTTGTCCACAGCCCAGCTAACTGGTTTGTTCACTGTTGTTGTTGCATGTTGGTCTGTTCAAGCACTCATTGAAGGACCTGAAGCAAATTTAGTTAACCTTCTAGTATTATACATACTTCTTTTTTTTTTTTTTACTGTTGCCAATCATTAAGTTCATTGAAAAAATTTAGAACCATGACATTGTAGATATGGTGAATTGCATGTATGGTGATATTATTTAACACAGTTTCAGCACACCTAAATTAGATTTTTATATTAAATGTTTTGTTGAGCTGAAAATATTTTTTTTATTCTTTAATATGGTTCATTTCATCAACATTGAGGCAACATACTACTGACATTTTTATGACATGTATTTTAGTTACCAATATACATGATTATACACTTATTGTTTACTCCTAATTAAATTTGCATAAAATACTGTTGAAGTGTTTGCATAAATCTTGCAATTTGAATATTAGAGCATATTAACGCCTGGCAGCTTGATGCTGTATCATTCTAAACACTTGGTCTTTGATTTTGGGCAGCAAATATAATAGACTTTCATCTTTTAAATAGACTTTCTTCAAAATCAATTTTATTTAACTGTTTTGTTAAAATGTGCTCATGCAATTTCGATATGCAAAGCTGCCCAAAATGTGTGGGGTTTACTGTTTACTTAACAACTCCCTTTTTATGCTCAAAACATGAAATCTATGCATAAATCTTGAAGCAAAAGCAATGTTATCTATTTAAAATGCATTTTGTTTAGGAAAACTTGAATTAGCTATTTTTGCCTGTACATGAGCTCCAAAATAATTTCAATAAAAGAATATGTTGATTGTTGTTAAAAAAAATTGTTTACTAGACTTCAGTTTTATATTACACAACAGTAAATATTTCAAACTTTTTAGCTTTACTATTAAGTAAGAAAAAATACAACATAAATATGAAACAAATCCTGGCTACAAATTTTTGTATTTTGGTTACATATGATATATCAAATACCACTAATAGCAATAAGATAATTGTGCTATTTAGTTTTAATAAAAAAACAAAATTTTCCAGTGGTGTGAAAATAATGGTACAAAAACCTATAACACCCTGAATTGAATATTAAGTACAACATAGCATATGAATTAAACAGTTTTAAAACAAAACACATCCTCTCGTTCAATGTTTAAATCCATGACTTGATTAATGGGTGACAACAAAGAGTAGACTGATAATTTTTTTTCTCTCACTGCTGCATGCCTGGAGATGTTACATTGTGACTATTAACAGTTGTTAAATATTGTATCTTTGTTGTCTAGTAAGCCTGGCTGTTCCATGTTGTCATGTGACCTTTTGAAACATTACCCTATGATCTGAGCGCAAGGCTGGAGGTATTCGTTTTACCGTCGTTTGTTCTCTTACACTTAGTCCTGAGGATCTTAGAGTACATGCACAAGCTGCTCAACGTAATAACACAGCCTGGTGAAAGAAATCTTTGTACAAAAGTCATCTTGTTCCTTTAGTCAGAAATTCTAAAGGAACAAAAAAAAAATTAAAAATGTTTGTAAAAATATGTACTTAAATTTATATAAATAAAGCAATATATTCTAGTGATATATATATATACATACATATATGCATATATATACATACCTATATTTGCATATATATATATACTAATAAGTATGTTTTTCTCCAATTCTGACATAGCTGAAGAAATGATAGATTTGCTTGCTGTTTACAATCCTATGCTAATTTCTTGTTTATTGGACAGTGCATGTTCATTTATTATTAATGTTAATTTTTTTTTTTTTTACCAATCTTGTTTATGTACAGCTTATTTATAGGGCAAACATTATATAATGAATTGTCACAATGTATTAACTGGTGAATTCTTTTTTTTTTTTTAATTTAAATTTTCAGCTGTTGGCATACTACACAATATAATCTATTTACTTTGTATATAGATCTTTGGTCTGGGAACAGACCGCTTTAGAAGACACTTGTTCACTTACTCATTTACATCTAAACTCATTATTGTACAAACAAATTTTATTTTTGTAATACAACCAACTGCGGCCAGCCTTAATCTTTCCACTTATGTATTGTTTAGATCTGCTAAAAAATGTAATAACCATTTTTTTGTGTAGGGAATAACTCTGTTGAGGAAATAATTCACATCAAGTACACGTGGTTATTAGTCAGTGCAAATGTTCAATGACTTAAGCTGAAATTCTTTACACCAGATGAAAGTAGATTTTGTTTATTTCCTCATTATTTAGCACTGTTTTCAACAATTTTGTAAATAATGTGGATAAAAGGTTTCTTTATTTACACTTTTTTTTTTATTGATCTTACGGGTTATCATTGTCATTAGTCCAGTAAAAATACAAAAATAATAGGAAAGCAAACCACCCTTCTTAATTGGAATTCTATCAAATTTTGTATACAGTAAATATCAGTGCTGTACCTTTATCTACATTATATTTAAGTCTGTTTCTATTTTTGTTTAATTTTTATTTTTTTTAAATTAGCAGATCTGAATTTTGTATACATTTGTTTATAGTTTCAATTAAAAATGTATGAATGACACCAGCCTCTTATCAGAAGTGCATTTATGTTTAAAGTTTGATTTGTGTGTCATTTGACTACTGATAGTTTGAGAACTGAATATAAACATTTAAGTGTTATTGTAAGTTAAAAGCCTTGTGTGTAGTTTATGAGAACAGGTTATTTTTTGGAGAAATAACATCCTTCTCCTGCTCCATTTGTATTGATATATGGGGGGGGGGGGGGAGGGAGGGGAGGTGGGTATAACTTTAAGAAAAAAACCTTTATTCCTTCCCTTTACAACAAATTGTTAGAAAACTAAAAGATAAAATTTAAAGACTTTAGAAGAAATAAGTGTAAAATAACCTTTTATAGAATATAGTCACTTAAGGAATAGGCACATGTATTATCAATCTTGACTGTTACATTTCTAGTTTCTCCTTGTACATTGTCCAGTACTTAATGCTGTTCTGACACAACTAAATACCAGCAGTGATTGGTGAGGATCTTAGCATGTTTTCTCACATTCAAACCAGAGTTATTTTTTACACATTGTTTTTGTCATGTAACTAAAGCAATTTCATGTCTGTATATTTGAATGGGAACAGAAAAATTATGAATTAAATACATTTTACAGCTTCCTTCATTTGTTCATATTTTTTTTGCATTGTTTGCCATAAAAAAAAGTTTGGTCCTCATTGTTGATGTTTAAATTAAATTGTTTACTTGTTTAAAAAGAAACACTATTCACAATATAGTTATATTATTAAGTGTTAAAATTTTAAAGTGGTCATTTCTAATTTGTACTATACTAATTTTGGAAAATTCGGTTAGTTTTGTTTTGGACATTTTCAAAAGCATAATCCTTTTGTTTAAAAGGTTGTTAATTCTCAATACAGCAAAGAAAACCCCAAAGTTTCAATGAAAAGAGGATCTGATTTTGTTACTGTTTAGCTTTCATCTCAGCCCCATGCAAATCTTACTGGTACATTTGTTCTTGAAGTCGGTGTTGAGACCACAACCTCTGTTTAAATGGTGTTTCCCTTCTTGTCTTTACCACTGAACAAGATGGTGAGCAGAAGGCCTGCAACAACAAAAAATTTCATAAAAATCCTTTTTAATAACAAGCTTTTATGTAATAATGCACTAAAAAGTAGAAAATAAATAAATTATACACTACTATTGAAATAGACGGAGTGGTCTAGCGGTAGAGAGCTGGACTGCTAACCCATATGTCTCGAGTTCGAATCCGGGTTAAAGTCAGTAGACCGTCCCTGAGTCCACCCAACTCTGATGGGTACCTAACTCACGTTAGGGAAAGTAAAGGCGGCTGGACATAGTGCTGACCACACTATCTCTTCACATGCCGAAGTCACAGAAACAAGTGAACTCTACTTCACTTGCCCCATAAACCATCAGGTTTGAAAGGGGAACTTTACTATTGAAATAACTATAAATAAAAGTGTGTGTCACTTATCTATTGGATACCTTTACTAATATTTAGGAAGAGACCCATGCTTATCTTTATAGTTATTTAAGTAGTGTATAATTTATTTTTCTACTTTTTAGTGCATTATTACATAAAAGCTTGTTATTAAAACGTTTTTTTATGAAGTTTTTTTTTGGAACTTAACATGTTTTATTTACAATAGAGTTACATGACTAAAAACCATTGCGCACCTATTGAACATGATGACGCCCTATTGAATGTGATGACGCGTGTCTAGTCGCGCGGAGTAGTTGGATAAGACTGCCTACTTATTTGGTCAAAATTTTAATTAATTCATAAAAAATTAATTAGGCATCCAATTAAGTCAAATTGAATGTGATGTTGCATTGTCTTTATGTCTTGACCCACGTGCCTACTACGAACCGTATCTGTCAATTAGAAGTGCCAGTAATTTCGCTCGGGCATTTTGATCTAGACAGACTGACAACAGAGGAAGTGAGTTAAATAAAAGCTTGCAAAAAAAGTGTGTTCATGTTGGCAACATAAATTTTACCCATCCCATTAGTTATTTAATTCTTGTTTGGCTACTAGCCTGAAGGAGGAGCTCGGTTCTTGGGACTGAAGATGTCCCTAAGTCCACCCATCTCTGACAGGTACCTAACTCAAATACGGGAAAGTAAAGTTGGCTGGGCATAGTGCTGACTATTTCACACTTCATATGCCAAGGTCAAGAAACATAAACTCTTGCTGCCTTGCGGATCTTTAGGGGGAGCTTAACTTTGATTAAATTCTACAAATAATTTAAAAATCAGTTATTTCTGATTACCAAACTTGTTAATTTATTATCGCCATTATATAATTCTTTCAGACATACTTCAAACACCTCTACTTCTGAAATAGTATTAAACAATTTTTTAATGGTTGTATAAACTGAATATTGAGCAGTTAGCTCCCCTTACAGTGTTTTTTTTTCTATAAATATGTCGCTGTTAAGGCAAGGGTTTTAGTGGCAATATCACCAACAAAATATTACTGCTCATACTATACTAACAATCTTGTGTAACTATAACTTAGCAAATATATATAAACCGATTTTCAAAACTAGTAGGTATTTATAAAGCCTAAGCTTGTGAGTTACCCTCTGACTACAGAATTACCCATAACCCAGAGGCGTAGCGAGGGGGGGGGGCGGGGGTGCGGACCACACTGTGTGACACCATTTAGGGGGGTGACACCAAGGCAAAAAATAGCAAAATATATAGAGAAAAACTTGAGGGGGGGGGGGGGGTGCAAATCGAAAATTTGAAAGTTTGTCCCAGGGAAAGGTTGCTACGCCTCTGAGGGTGAAACCATTAAGTGCCGCACCGGGTGACACCCGACCTCGCTACGCCACTGCCATACATAACCCCTTGTAGATTGTACTGAGACTTACTTGAAAAAGTAAAACCTGCCACTAGAAAAAATAGTCCATTCCATCCAATCGATGCTTTGAGCATTTGAGAAAGAAAAGTTCCCAAAGGTGCTGTTACCAACTGCAGGGAGATGATGTAACTATTATATTTAAACTCAAAACTTTGAGAACAGTTCAAACACAATTTAGAAAGAGAAAAATTAATTTAAACAGAAGTAGGAGGAGTTTACATTTAATCTAGACCAGGGGTCTCCAAACTACGGCCCGCGGGCTGGATGCAGCCCGCGAAGTCGTCTCATCTGGCCCGCGGAGATCCTTTTGTCCATGGAAAAAACGCATGTTGGTGATGGCTGACATGCCTGGAAGAAACTGGCCCCCGAACTGAAATTTGATAGTTAATGCGGCCCTCGGACTGAAAAGTTTGGAGACCCCTGATCTAGACCAAAAGAAATAATTTGTATTGAATATTAAATAAAATGTGCTAATACATTTAATATCTGACAAGACTATCTTAAAAGGTTTAAGTATCAAAAATGCAGATTTACCTGTGATGTAAACAACAGGCCATAGTTAATACTGAGGTACTTTGGGCCATAACTTTTGGCTGTTGCTGTTGGGAACAAGGAGAAGTTGCCAGAGAATGACCCAAAGAGTAAACAGATGTACACAAAAAACAGTGGCTTGCCTCCGTACTCAGATACTTGTAGTGTCAGCATTAGGGATGTGAATACACCTAACAATGCCAACAGCGCCACCTGGGGGAGGTAACAAAACCAGTAAAATCTGAAATAGTAGACATTTTTTTATATCTTGTATTATAATCATTGAAATAAATTATTACCCGTTCATACTGATTAGTCATATGAAGGAATATGAAGGAATATTATGGTTAGTACTAAGCCCATCCGCATTTACTTTCCCTACCTACTCTGCTGACTAGACACTGTTTGTAGTTAACAAATACAACTGCATTATCACTGGGTGTGGGCCATACTCATTAAAGCAGCAGTTGTTTTTTTCTGTATTTTATTTCCATTCTGAGCTAACTATATACATTATACATACCCTAAAAGAAAATTTATCAGCAATCACACCCCAAACAATTCTTCCTGAAGCATTGAACACTGCAGCAAAAGCTCCAACCAAGGCAAGAAATGAGTCATCAGAAATGAAGGTTTGACCATATGCCTGGTCCACAGGGGAAAAATTAATTCTATTCATAAACATTTTTAACAACAAACAAAATACATAATTTCATAATATAACTTTTTAAAATTTTAAATTCTGCAGACAAGTCTTCAGTTTCTTTTGCTGCTGTGCCACTAAAATGCTTCCATAATATTTGGTAAGCCAAATGTGCAGTTAATTATATGTATACAACATAGATCTAGTTACAAATATGTGCAGTCACCAACCTTGTAAAGGCTAGAAATGAAAGTAACACCTTGCCCATTGAAGAGAAAAATTATCCACAGTAGATAGAAGTTTTTGTCTTTGAGCATTTTCAGAGGATAAACATTGTGATCATCTTGATCATCACTTGCTGATTTCTCACTTAAAAAGAAATTTTTTAATCAGATTAATAAAATATGTAATTGGAAATTAATTTTAAAACTAAATAAACCGGTAGTGATCTCCCCTAAACTTTCTCGAATATTCTTATATAAAACAACAAGGGGATGGTAACTGGGGATATAGTTATGATTTTTAATCCATTTTAAATACTAAAACTTTTAAAAATAGAATAGAATCTCAGTAAAAAACAATTGCGCACCAAGCGAACGCCTAATAAAGGTGTGTATAATAGTGCGCAATATTATTAGTACTTTTAAAATTTACATTAGTTTTTTGAGAAATCGGAAGTAGCGTAAATTACTACTTCCTGTCAACGGAAATTACTCAAAATGTAACAGAAGGTAGAGAATTAGATCTTTTACTTACATGTGAAATTTCATTTATCTATCTGAAATAGTACTCAAGTTATAGGCTTTTAAAAAATTCAAAGTAGGAAAAGTACCACTTCCGGTTATCGGAAATCGCTCAAAAGTTGATACGGATCTACGATTTTGATAAAATACTTATATATGAAATTTCATCAACCTAGCTGTAACGGTACTCAAGTTATCGTGTTTACACACGGACAGACAGACAGACAGACAGACACACACACACACAGACATACGGACAAGATTGCAAAATTATGTTTTTCCGTATCAGTGAGGTGTAAAACGTCGAGATTTGTAAAAATCTCGATTTTTTTTTTTTGCACGATTACAATACTTTCTCTATACTACGTATATACGAGAAAGTAAAAAGCATTGAATTATAAATATTTAATTATGTATCAAAATATTGAAAATACAATGGTACAGACTACTGGAATCTAAAGGGAAATAACTTGCAAATTTTGTTATTGGTACCAACATATTACTTAGAGTATGCTATTTAATAGTTGATTTTTACCTCCCCAAGAAAAAAAGTAGGCTCCCTATAATTAGAATGGAAACAAACCTGATAACATTATCAATTTGTTCTTCCTCATCTGCCTGAGATTTCTTTTCATCTAAAGCTGTTGGGTCCTGTTACAAAACAAGCTATTAGTTTAAGCTAGGGTTAGTGTATACTAGACGCATATTACTAGATCTACATGCAGCACTGAAAATTAAATAAATACATTAAAATAATGTTGTAAATAAAATAAATGGCTCCACAGTCTGATATGGTGGTGAAAAATTCCAGACAGTACATTTCTTAGTAATTCTATACTAGAAACATACACATAAAAAAATACATACACATATCATTTACCATTTTACACATGCATTGTAATGTAAACTACTAATATTTGCTTTAGATTCCATAGGCTAATTGATAGTTTTAGATTTCCATGCTATTATGTAAATATGTAATATTTTTGTAAATAATGTGTATCTCCCCTTGACCTGATTTTTAGCTAGGTCAAGTTACCAGTCTTATATGTCAATCATTTTTATCTTAAGTCACGAAACGTTGAGATAACATTAACAGTGCCCTACATTTCACCATTCAAATCTGCCACTGTTTACAACTACATTAGTTTATTAAATAGAAAGTAGAAAAGTTTTTTGAGGTACTTTTTTAGCATTTCAAAAAGTTAATATTTCAAAATTAAATATTTTTAGTATATTGTATTGAAACACATTATTTCTAGATCTATATCTAGTAGACTTATAAGTAGACCTATACTCAAATGCCACCAGTTTTTAAATTGTATATCGCTTTGAACTTATCTGATTATAAAAATCAAGTATTGTCATTTTAAAGGACAAAGTTCATGAAGTCTTGGAAAGAATTTGACTTATAAGTAGGTTGAGTGCTGCATATTTTTACAATCAAGAAACCTAGATTTGTACCACATATTTTGACAATCACAAAACTGAGATTTGTATTTCTTACTTTTACAATCATGAAACCAAGATTTGTACTACATATTTTTATAATCACAAAACCTAGATTGGTACCACCTATTTTTTCCACATATTTGTACAATGATGAAACATAGATACATACCACTTTTGGTTGTAGTTCCAGGGCAGGTAGCTGGTCAGGTAGCTTGACATATCTCTCCTCAGGTAAACTGGCTTTGGTTGTGTCATCTGAACTTGGGATAATGATCTTGAACAAAATAAAAACTTAAATATGTATTGGCTAAGAAAAATGTTCATGACAGGTTCATTTATTACTGGGACAGCATGGTTGAAAAGTAGAGCTTACAACGGCTAACACAAAAGTCTCGAGTTCGGTTCCAGGGCTCAAATTTGTTGGATGTCCCACAGTCTACCCAGCCCTGGCGGGTAACTGACTCACATTAGGAAAATAAAAGCTGCTTAACATAGAGCTGACCACACTATACTTGTATGATGAGGTCATTGAAACAGATGAACTCTACTCATGAGTATTGGACATGAACGGATAAAGAAGATGAAACAGGTTCATTAATTTTAATTATTTTAATTTTTAAAATTATTATCACAATAAAATTTTGGTTCAGATTTTGGAAACAGTCACTAATTATTTAGCCAAGATTGTAGCCTTTAACAGTTTTATGCTGGTGCAATTTTTTTAAAAGCATTCAATAGACACTGATTGCTTTTTTAGTATTTTCTAAATATCAACTATGGGCATCCAAACTAAATCACTGCATTATTGCATAGACCTTTTATTAATCTCATTAATAGTAACATTATTAATTTAAACAAAAAATAATAATGTAGCTATCTGATAATCATGTATCTACATATTTATTTAAATTTGCTCAGTTCAGTTATGTTTCAATAATAAGGTTAAGCTTTTTGTTTTTATAAATATAACAATGAAATGGGAACTAACATAAAAGGATGGCAATTGACTGTTATATTTTAGGGAAGTTGCAATTATTTTTGAGGATAGTCTCTAAGCATTGAAGCCTTTTCAATTTTACTGTAAACTTACTGTTATTTCTTTTGGTGGTGGGTTACAAATTAACAAACTCCCAATCAGCTGCAAAACAGCATAGCAACCACCAATTAGAAGAAATGTGTAAGGCACTCTGTCCAAAATATCTGGTTGGGCAAAATACCTGTAAAGATAAATAATACTTGGCTGCAAAGTGTTTTTCCAGTCCAATATTTTTAAATACAGTAAAAGATGTTAAATTCCAATCCAATGTTGTTTTTTTTAAATCTACAGTAAGTTATTAAAATTCCAATCCAATATTTTAAAAAAAGTCTACAGCAACAGTTATTAAAACTCCAATCCAATTTATTTTTAATAGCCGCCTGTGAAATTCTTAACTCACTTGTCACCATCTACTTCCAGCTCAGGTTTTTTATTGTCTGGGTTGATAAAGGCTGTTTGAATCTGAGTGAAGATGAAAGCTCCACCCCCAAACCCGGCTAGAACAAGACCATTGGCCAAACCTTTTCTCTCTGGAAACCACTAAACAGTAAAAGCAAAACAGTGGAAATTAGATTACCACAGAATAAGCTAACATCAGGGATGCACTGGCCCGATGGTCTACCAGGAAAAATCCCAGTTGGCCCCCAGATAAGAAATCTCTGGGTGCCCCAAAGAATAGTGCTGTACTGGGCTTATTAATGCTTTGATTATTTTTTTTAATTACATTTTTGCATTAGATTAATATTGTCATCAGGCTTTTTTGGGGGAAAAAATTCACAATGAAAATTGTAATTCGGGTTTTGGGGTCCCTTTTAAAATTTCTCAAGCCTCTTCCACCCCTGGTTAACATAATAAAAATCAATAGATTAACAGCAAAATCACAACAAAGTAACAAAAGCTGTCTTTATGGAGACAAAAATATAAAAAAAAACATACTAATATTTAAATGATAAAAATCTGTATGAATGTAGCAAATCACAATTATTGATTCTTATATAATTTTTTAAATTATTTGTTTTGTAATTATAATTTTAATTTTTTTAATTTGTAATAAAATTATGTAAAGTGTTAATTGAAGTTTAAGCCTTTTTCCATCAACTTACCCTCACTGAGCAAGAGAGCGGAACAGCATAAGCAATTCCTATACCAAATCCAAAAACTGCACCGTAGGTGAAGATACACAGGCCAAATGATTGCTTGATTGAAAAATATGTTGATAAGACACCAAGACTGTAACAAAGTTATTGTTTGATTGAAAAATGAGTTGAAAAGACATTAATTTGAATATGTCTGTAACTGTAACCTACAAACACCAATGTTTTATTTGTAAAACACTATTTAAACCATGAAATTGTAAAATATAAATTCAGTATCATAAAGAGAATATTTCAACAAATGAATTTCCTTTGTCACAGAGTTAAAAAGATTTTTTTAATCCCATACCTCATACACCATCCACCACAGAGTGTGGTTAATTTAGGTCCAATCTTTTTTTCAATGAGACCTCCCAGTACCACAGACAGCCCTTGACCAATGCCTGCTGTGGCTAAAATCCAGGCACACTCAGTGTATGTAAGGGAAGGTGCAGTACCATTAACTCTCATGTATGATGTTATATAAGGATTTAAATTTCCTGTAGACAAAATAAAAAATCTTAATGCAAAATGTATAAAATATAGACAAGAAAATATTTTTACAACTTTACTACATAAAACTTTAAAAAAATAGACAAACTGAGCTTAAAGTAGTAAAAATTGTTTTAAAAATTAATTTTATTTCTACTTACCAAATGTGTAAAAAGTGCCCAATGACAGATGAACTAGAATTCCACCTATCACAACTAAGATGCCTCTAAATCTTCCATTTGCACACACTGATGAACCCATGATCTTAAGTGGCAAAATCCACACACAATTTTTTTTTTACACAAGTAACAAATTAGTTGCCTCAACCATCAATTGACAATAATTGTCTCAACCTCATGATCTTTTCTAAAATTGAATTACTGCTTTATTCAAAGATAAGCAATGCAGAGGGTATTACTTTAATTCTTATGTCAAGAATGAGAAAAAACTTATCAAGTGACTGCATACGCTACAGGAATACTTCAGTCTACTTCCACCTGGAAAATTATCTGGTTATCTGTTTAGAGGTTTAACAAGTTTTATCAGAACTGTGTGCTCAAGGTAACCTTTGACATTTAGCCAACAAAAGAAAATTTAAGTAGCACCTCCTTGAGTCTGTTATACAGGTCAAAATATAGGTACAATGCCTATATGTAGGCATTAGATTGTCACTGATAGACTGTAGACAAACACTGATGAATAGACAATTTAACTAACAGGTAAAATACAATACAAGCGAATAAACTGGTAACACCAGTCTCAAGCGAAAAGTAAAAAAACAAGCATAATCAAACACATTATATCAGATCTTCAACATAACTGTTTATTTTATGAAAATAAAAATGCACATCTCATCCTTGAGTTAGGTTACCCAGGGGTCCGTTCGCATACACGTTTATCTTAAATTATGAACTATCACACTTATTTTAATCTACACACTTAAGTTTTGTTTAAATATATTTGGTAGATTAAATCTAGTCTAAACATTTAATATTTGTGTATAGAGCCATATTTTCAGATTATTTCTGCTCTTAAGTAAAAAATATAGTTTAGTTAAGATATTTTAAATTATAGAAATAATGGTGAAACAAAATTTTGATATAGAATGTACAGCTTTTTTCTCAGTAGCAATTTTTTTACCTGATGAAATGAGTCATATGCGCTCACTCACAGAGCTGCATGCAACTCTGTAACAGCAGATTAGCAGCCACTGGGTCAACTAATCTAAAACTTTTTGCTCTTGTAAATGTTTTAATATATTTTCAGAGTTTTAAGAAGCAAATTATCTTAAGTTATTTTTATGTCCCGAGAAACTTTATTACATTATATAGATATTTATAAAGGTTCTTAATTTATAAATGCAATGCAAGCAATGACTTACAGTAACTTATTCTGTAGATAAGTAAAGTGTCAACCACCCATAACATAAAAACTATAATTGAAAATACAAGGAGGATTTCTAACTGTTCCATCTGGTTAGTAAGCTGGTAATGCTTAACAAATTCACATTTCCTGCCATTTCCTTTTTTTTTCTCGCCTCAGAATGCAATCACCAGAACCAAGTCTGGAATAGAAATAAAATCTTCTGGTTTAAAACAACTTTAATGTTTAACCCTCTATCTTATGTCCAGTTATATTGAACTTCTTGTCTAGCGATTAGAAGTAACAATCATCTGTTTTTGAAACCTTTGTAGTTTCATTTATGACTTTATTTTATTAAAATTTTAAAATGAAATCTGAGAATGAATAAGTCCCTCCTTTCCTAATGTTACTGCCTCAATCTAAACAGGGGTAAGTAAAACAATTATTAAGAAAATAGTGTTGTTTTTTATTTGGATTCTTTTAAAATTTACATTGTAAGGCAAATAAATAAAAGTATATAAACACCTACTTAAAATTTAATTATTAGTGTCCTTTTAGTTAAATATAGTAATAATCATTTCAGAGAAGGGGTTTTAGAAGGTATAACCGGAACTAATATAAAACAAACAATTAAAAACACATTTTGTATCTTTTTCAATATTTACGATCATTAATTATATAAAAACCAGACTAGAATTAGAAATTACTGTTGGTTAATGCTTACTACTGAATAATTTGAAGTAAATTATCCTTTTTTAGCTTTACAAGAATATAAAAAAAAATCTAAACTGACCAATAAAAAGCTTTAAATTAAATGTATCAAATCTTACACGTACAGTTTTCCACTGAGCTGGTCAGATTATTTGTCCTTTTCCTTAAATTGTTTTCCCTTTTTTGTTTTTGCCATTAAACAAGATGGAAAGCAAAAAACCTGAAAACAGTGAACAATTAATTTTTTAATGAACTAAGTTCATACTCAAAAATATTTACTGACTTCGACAGCTAATATTTTTGTTTTATCAAGCACAAAATCTTTTACTTAAAATTATGGTATAATTCCATTTTAATGTAAAGTAAAAAGTTAAGTTCCCTTTTCAAACTTGACAGGCCATGGGACAAATGAAGTAGAGTTTACCTCTTTCTGTGACCTTGGCATATGAATTTGAATGTATTGTTCAATCTTTTTTCTACTTTAAATTTTTAATGATGGTTTAACACTAATAGTACACTCTTTTAAGCAAGACAATCAATAATGATACTTTTGCAATATAATAAAACTGCACTAATATATTCAAGCACTTTTGCCTTTAAACTACTATAATAATCACCACCACCAATATTTTAAACCTGATTATAACTCAAACCTTAATCATGGTAAAAATTCTAGTAGGCTATAAGCACTCACTTGAGAAAGAAAAACCTGCCACCAAAAAAAATAGTCCATGCCAACCAATAGTGTTTTTCAGTATTTGTGAAAGAAAAGTTCCCAAAGGTGCTGTTACTATCTATAATATAAAATTTTAAAAATAATTTTTAATAATGAAGAAGTATACATTATAAATTCTAAAATGAAACAATGACGTTAAAAATCATATAATTTCATTATTTGTAATGAAATTAATAGTCTGTATTAAACACAATGATTTTCAAAGAAGAAAAAACATTTTCATTAAAAAAAATTGTCTTCAACACTATTTAAAAATATTTTGAGAACGCCAAATGGGCTTTCAGTATTACCTGTGATGTAACCAACAGGCCATAGTTTATACTGACATACTTAGGTCCATACATTTTAGCCACTGCTGTTGGAAACAATGAAAAGTTGCCTGACAAGGACCCAAACAGTAAACAAATGTACACAAAAAACAGTGGCTTGCCAACATATTCAGATGCTTGCAATGTCAGCATTAGGGATGTGAATAAACATAACATAGAAAACAGCGCCACCTGTGAAAAGGGACAAACCTATTGAATAACATTTAGAAGGTGCATTAATGAATAAAATTGAAACAAAATATACATTTATATTTAGGGGGCTTTGGTATAAATATTTAATTTTCTTTAATTAAATATTGAATTATTGTTGCAAATAAATATAAACAGTGCACATGCCTACCCTGAAAGTAAATTTATCAGCAATCATGCCCCACATAATTCTGCCTGAAGCATTGAACACTGCAGCAAAAGCTCCAACCAAGGCAAGAAATGAGTCATCAGAAATGAAGGTTTGACCATAGGCCTGGACAACAGCGGGGAAAAAATTATTATAAACATCTTCAGCTAAAATGCATTATTTTATGCTACTGCATCAGCTAAAATGTGTATAATAAATAAACAAGATGTGCATAGAAGTATTTATAAAATTTGTCTGCGGTTCACCAACCTTGTAAAGACTAGAAATGAAAGTGACACCTTGCCCATTGAAGAGAAACATGAACCATAGCAGATAGAAGTTTTTGTCTTTGAGCATTACCAGAGGATAAACATTGTCATCTTCCTCGTCATTATTTTCTGATTTTTCACTGAAAATTTTAATTATTATGTGTTTTAGCAATAATGATTATATTTAATCTTCATTTCATTAATTAAACTAAATTTTAAGAGTTGGTTGAAAGATTTTTACTTACAAACTGTAATAAGATGAAGATTTAAGAAATATTTGGGATCTAAATTAAGGGGATATATTTTATTTCCTGGATCCTCTAAGTTTTAATTTTCTTAAACTAGCAATACAAGATATTTTTAGTTTAAAAAAAACTTAAAATTTAGAAGTTTTAAAAAGAAGAAAATAAAAAAAATTGGGTTAAACTAGCCTGTTGGAATTTTTTACTTGTCCCTCTTTATCCATCTTCTGTTTATTATCAAAAGCCTGTTGATCCTGCAAAACAAGCTTAAATAAATTCATTATGGTAGGGGGGCACATCCATTACATTGGATACTATGATGCTATTAGGCATACTACAACACATTGGTATAAATGAAGAGTTGAGTTTCTACAACCTCTACAGTACAACAGATTTACAGTGCAACATTTAATTGTAGGGTAATGACACTTAGACCAATGACGCAATAAGATTGATTATGTGGCAATGACTGCTTGACCAATGGTGCAACAAGATTGATTATGGGGCAATGACTGTTAGATCTACAGATCTAGTACTAGTTCCTGCTATTTTTCGATGGTGTGGAAATGTGTTCTTGCTTTTATCACTATATACTTCTGAAAATAATTATTGGTGGTTTCATTTGGTGATACTTTAAAAACCCATTGTCTAATGCATATGACTGAGCAAATTAATTATTTGTCAGAATTTACCAAACAACAGCATTGATAATAGACATTGTTTTTTTTATTATGTGTTCTATTATTTGATTTGCTTACATTTCTCCACAATACGTTTTAGTGGCTGGTGTGCTTCACCTTGTGACATGTGTCAGGTCTAATCACAATTTTTTTTATATCTTTTATCTCCAACTGATGATAACTTGTGATAATAGTACTATATATTTTACTAAAGTCTACAGAAATAAGTTTGATTTTTATAAATAATAACACTATGTATGATGTATTTCCACATCTAATTGGTTGTTCAGTGTGAATTGATAAGCATGAATTCTACAAAAATAGTTGACACAAATTTAATTTTTTCATCCTCGCCCCGTTCGTGACATGAAGGCTTACTTCCCTTCCCCCATCTGGCTAGGATCTAATGTATTGTCTTACAACAACTGTACCTAAATGTATTTTGTATAGCATTAAGCTGATTTACGATGCAAAACACATTATCTCAATAATTATTAGTTTATGTTTATGACTAAAAAAGAAAATAATTTTCAGATAAAAAGATGCTGCATATTTTTACTACCATTGACTGAAGAGTCTTACCAATTTAGGTGCAGATATTTGGTTAGTTATCTTGACATATCTCTCTTCAGATGAATAGATTTTAGTATCTGAGTCTGGAATAATAATCTGAAAATTAAAAAACATGAAAGTGTTATAAAGGCAAAGATGCTTACTTGAATATTAGAATATTAAATACATACACAAGGAGTTTTATTCTGTTTAATTGTTTAGTTTTTGTTTTTAAACACACAGATAGTTGACATTAATAAAGCAATAAACTGATGGTCATTTATAATTTTGATATTTTTCTACTTCAAAGTGAAGACAAACTATGCAAGCTATCATAAGAAATTATGTTAGCTAACATAATCTTATTATTATGTCATCTTCATATTAGGTTTAGCAACTAGTTTGAAAATATTATTCAAATAACTGATGAATAGTTACAAAACAGGATGAGCAGACATGGTTTATAAGAAATACTAAGATGATTCAAAATGTGCCTTATATTATTCATTATATTCATTCAATAATGGTAACAACAGTAGGCACGAAGGCCTTTTTTCATATTGGCCATTTAAAAAAAACAAATAAAACATAATATATAGAATATTATAAAAGATACAAAGGTGATTTTAGCATAGTATGAAACACAATGAGACTTGAATATTTATCCAAACATTGAATACATTAAATGTGTACTGAAGTAAACTTACAGTAATTTCTTTTGGTGGAGGGTTACAAATTAATGAACTTCCTATTAGCTGCATGACTGCAAAGCACCCACCAAGTAGAAGAAATGTGTAAGGCACTCTGTCCAATACATCAGACTGAGAAAAATACCTGTGAAATAATTTTACACAAAACTAAAATAATTTAGTATTTTAAAATTCCAAAAGTTAATTCCTGTTCAATATTTTTAAATACAGTAAAAAATATTTAAATTCCAATCCAATATTTTAAAATAGATAGTAAATTATTTTGAAATTCTAATGCAATATTTTAAAATAAAATCTACAGTAAAAGTTAATAAAATTCCAATCCAATATATTTAAAAAGCCTACTGAAAGTTTTGAATAACTCACTTGTCACCATCTATTTCCAGCTCAGGTTTTTTATTATCTGGGTTGATAAAGGCTGTTTGAATCTGAGTGAAAATAAAAGCTCCACCCCCATACCCAGCAAGCACAAGACCATTGGCCAAACCTTTTCTCTCTGGAAACCACTGCAGAATAAAACAGTCATTAAAAATTCAAATACTGGAACTGTTCAAAGCTAATTAAAGTTCACACAAAGAATGACTAGCAAACTGTAAAACCTATCAACTTCACAAGTCTATATTCTTAAAAGGTGAACTTACACCAACAATCTAAATATTTAAAAATATGTTAATAATAATTTTTGAATTATTTACATAAAAAAACAATTTGTAGGTCCATTAATTAAATACACTAATTTAAAACATCAGTTTAAAAACAACACACTTTATGATGCTCTAGTTCTTTCAATATAAATTTTTTAAAACAATTTTCCCATTTACTCACACGCACTGAGCAGCCTAGCGGAATGGCATATGCAATTCCTAAACCAAAACCAACAATGGCACCATAGGTAACAATACTCAAGGCAAATGAATGTTTGATTGAAAAGTATGTCATAAAAACACCAAGACTGAAACAAAAATAAAAACAATGTATATGCCTATTTAATTTTAACATTAAAAATTAGCCTTCTAGCATGTAAAGGGACAGCGTGTTCAGATGATAGAACCTGAAAAACTCGAGTTTGGATACTTGGCTTAAGTCTGTAATTGAGTCCACCCAGCTCTGATGGGTACCTGACTCACATTTAGGAAAGAAATGTGGCTGAGCATGGTACTGACCACACAATCCCTTTATATAAAAAGGGCACATAAACAGGTGGACTCTACTTCATCTGCCCCACCAAGTTCAAAAGGGTAACTTTTTTTCTCTAGCATGTGACACATATGACTTATATATATAATTTTACCACAGTCTGTTTTACATGCTCTGTCAAGCACACATATTAAAACTTGTGTCCAGTTGTTTATTTAAAGCTTTGTAAGTTAAAAATGCTAAGACATTTGAAATAAGTACATACTATTTTCTTTTGACCAAAGTTAATGGTTATTTCTATTTCATACCTCATTAGCCATGCTCCTAACAGTGTAGTCAGTGAAGGTCCAATCTTTTTTTCAATGAGACCTCCCAGTACCACAGAGAACCCTTGACCTATACCAGTAGCAGCTAAAATCCAGGCACACTCAGTGTATGTGAGGGAAGGAGCAACACCCTTAGCTCGCATGTATGATGTGATGTAAGGATTTAAATTTCCTGGAGACATTACAGAAACCTTAATATAAACTTTGTGATAACTACAAAATGCAAATTTTTCTGTTTTTGTTTTTAATATTGTCATTTCCTTTTAAGTTTTATGGAGAATTTAAGTAAAAAAATGTTTTAAAAAAAATGAGCCAGTTAAATTAAGATTAAACAGTATTTTAATAAGCTGATTAAAAATTGTATGTGAAGATAAAAAATTACCGTTTTAAAACACTGATTATATATTTTGAGTTTGTTTCATGAGATATTTCAAATACTCCTTTTATATGCTAAATTACTAATTATTACAGTATATTTAAATCATAAAATATTAATTTTAAACATATTTTACTTACTAAAATAAATGATAAATATATTATTGTTAAATAAAATTGTATCTTTATAAATGTTATCCTAAAATATTTTTTTTAAAACTTACCAAAAGTGTAACTAGTTCCTAATGATAAATGAACTAAGATACCACCAAAAACAACTAAAATCCCTCTACATTTTCTATTTACACACACTAAGAAACCCATGATCTTAACACTATAATAGAGTGATCAATGAATACAATTTCGTTTCAGCCTATCACTACAAACTGATAGATACATATAACTACTATTTTACAAGTATAGATGTCCTAACTTCTTATTCTTTAATAATCAAGTTCAACAACTCACTTTGAGTTGGATAACAGGAAAAAAAAAACATCTATTAGATAATTTTTTATTATGTTAAATTCCTAGTAGATAATTCAACATACAATGATAAGCAGTTAAGCCTATACTATCTCTATCATTTGTGAAACTGATAAAAATAATTAAACTTCATATGAAACTTATATGAATACTTCAGTCTACTTAAACCAACTTATTGATCTGGTTATCTGTTTTTCAGACAATCAAAACATTTTATGATGCATGTGTGCCTGATTGTGCATCAAGATATTCTTCAATTCTTAGTTCATCACATAATGAATAAAGCAAGCACCAATCTCTTATCTGAAAAACAGAAGACAAAACCACAGGCAATAAGAAGGTAGTCACAAACAGACAGATATCTTTCAGTTATGAGTTTAAAAACAAACTAGGCCTGACACATAAGAATCAGATCTTCAACCCAAAAGTTTATTTTAGGAAAATAAAATCTCCATACCATACTTGAGTAATATTATTCTGAGTTTGTAAATGCTAGATTTTTATCTAGAAAAATTTTAAGTTGATACACACAAATTCCATTACCAGAATGTAAGAATTTTAATTAATGAAATTGACAGATATCATAAAGAACAATTTCATTGACGCAATACCAAACCTGAAGCAAATACAAATTCAATTTTCAGCCTAATTGTGTAATTGATTTGTTTATTACAAGTGGTAATTCTGACTGCTTAAAACAACTTTAATGTTACAGACATAAAATATTTTTTTTAAAACATTGCTTTTAAATGTATAGCTTTTTAAAAAAGAAAAAAAGTATTGAATCTTATTTTTATTTTACTAATAATAGGGCAGCTATTTATTTTTAGAAAACAAAATAATATAATTTGCTATTATTTTTTCTCTACATTTTAAAATTATATTGTTCATTTTAAACATTTAAAGTATTCATTTAAAACAAGTGTTATTATTTATATTATATTTTCAAAGTTTTTTGCTTTTGGTCATTAAATCTAAAGTGTTATGTTCTTTATGTTAGCAGCAGAAATGACTATAAATTAGTTTAAAAAGAAACATTTATTGATATTTGGAAATTAGATTATAAGATATTTATATGAAATTATTGTACATAAGTTTACCAAATTAAACACAGATTTTTTTTTAAAGAAACACAAAATAAAAAAGAATAAATAACACATATGTAAGCTCGGGAAAAAATGTTTGATTCAGAATTAATTATTAAAAGAATACATAAAAATTCAATAGCCACCAAATGCAATTACAATTAGTAAAAAAGTTGATATGTGAATTAAATGTTAATTTTCAACAACTACCACATTTAAAGCATTTACAGATAATAAATGGTTTTACAAAACACATTATCACAGTAAATGGAAGAGGGTGGTTTGGACTTTAACAACTATCAAGCAATGACATAAGTTTAACATCTGGTGAAATGATGGTCTACAACCTAAGTGTTAAAAGAACCCTGCTCTGGTGTGTCCTGGACACATGTTGGGGACATAAATTTTGCTGGTAATGTACTGGACACACACTACTGTACCCGCCATCACCATAGAATTTTTTTAAAAGAAAATTAATTGTCAAATTGGAAGTGATCATTTGTTTTAATTCTGAAACATACTTTTAATTTGGAAAAGAAATGGTTTTTATAAGTACAGCTTAGGCCTACTTCTAATTTAATTTCAAATATTTTACGATGATATTGCACTACAAATAACAAAGCAACATAAGTCCTAATGGGTCAACAAACAAATGTATCACAATAATGTAAAAAAGCAAAAAAAGTTATTTATTTTTTATACAATAAAAAATAACAAGAAAAAACACCTGAAAACCAGCTAATTACTTTATGTATCTTCACTTCAGTATTTACAAATTCCTATCAAGCCAAAAAGGAATGAAAAAAAAATAATGAATAATAATACTGTTTATGTTAATCTCAAATGATTAAGAATCCAATCTTATGAAAATGCAGCTATTAAGCTTAAAGCTTTACACAAATTTGAATGGCACCTCCTATTCATCTTGAGATCTAGGTTTTTTAAAGAAATACAATTCATTCAGTTTTTAAAAAATAAAGTAATGAAAGAGATTACCTGTTTAAAGCAATTAAAAAAAAAAAATAACACACATTCTTAAAAAAAATAACAGAAATTAAAGCCAAAATATAAAACAAGTAGAGATGGGAAATTTTTTTTTGAAGAATTAAAAGTTAGATCTCTTTGGAAAGCTGAAGTAAAGTTTCAGTACCATAACTGTGAGGCACTTTGGTTTAAGAAATTTTGCGGCCAACACAAAAAACATTTCTGGTATAAGTTATACAACAATTTATGACACACAAATATATTCTAAGAATATCTTTGGGAATGTTATTTCAAAAATAAAAAATATTTTTGGTTTGGATTTAATATTTAAAATAAAATCTTTAGACATGCTGAAACTTTTATTCCCAGCAAAAATGGGTATTTTAAGGCACAATATTTCCCAAACTAAATGCCTTAAAACAATTGTGTATATTCTAATAACACAAGCACAATGCGTTAAACTAGATAAGGAATTTATCAACTACCACATACAACACGAGTTATAAAAAAAAAAAAAATCTACAAGGAATGTTGTTTTTAAACAAGTTTTATGATAAAAATAAAAGTTTAAGTAATATGCATTTTTAATAAACCATCACAGTTAGTTTGATTAATCAGTAGCCAGCTTCTGTTCATGGTCTTACAGTGTATTCATTATTCTGGCTAGGAATATCAAGCCTTTAGTTTGTGCACTTAAATTTTTGGTTAATGTAAAGACCGAAAACTAAACATTAAAATAAAAGATGATAGTCAAAGGGTTAATAAGAATACAAGTCTGTGATCCAATTTCTTCTTGTGAGTCAGACAGTGAACTTTTAAATTTCTTTTCCATTTTTGTCTTTACCTCGGAAGACAATGGACAGAATGAAACCTTGAATAAAATAAAAATGTATCGTTTTCAAGGAAATAAATGAAGGGGTTGTTCAAAAAAGACATTACGCTACTGGGGTAGGGATGGGATGGTTCAGACTTCAGTGACAATGTAAGATGAGGGAGAGAAGAAATTATGAAAGAATGACAGCATTTTTTACCTTATTTTAAAATACAAAAATTATGAAAACATTCTATTTCTTGTTAGAATTTTTTAAGGTAGAATGTAAAACTTTGTAATGTCATTTTATGACCAACAACGGGCTTTTTGTGATGATGTACGAGGGGAGTTAAAGTTAACCTTTCAAAGTAACAAGCTCTAGTTGAAGCAGTTTTATTTGTATCCAAAACAAACTTACATTTTTAGAAAAAAAAAAACCTAATTTTTTGTAAATTAGTAATGTGGCATTATTGCAATTCAATTAAGAGTTGTAACAAATCAGGTGAATTATTTCAATAATCAAGGAGTTACAATGGATTTAACTGAATACCTGGTGTTTATTGATTGTTGCATTTCTTTTTTTTTTTAAAGTCAACATAGTAAAACACTTAAAATAAATTAGATTTTTAAAAATCCCATAGGTTTCATTAGATAAAAACATTTAAAGTTAATGAATGAAACAAATTTTAATGAATAAAACTTACTGGCAAATGAAAAACCAGCTACCATAAAGAATAATCCACTCCATCCAATGGCTGTCTTTAAACTCTGAGACAGAAAAGTTCCTAATGGTGCTGTCACCATCTAAAAAGAATAAAAAGCAATCAACCATGACTCCACAGCCAATCAAACAGTATAAATTAAGAATATCATAGATTTCTTACATAACTATATATATATATATATATATATATATATATATATATATATATATATATATATATATATGGGAACAGGGCATTACCCCCTCCCCCCTGTCAATCACTACACCCCTCCCCTCCCCCGGACATTACCCCCCCCCCCCCTTTTGGTTTCTAATTAGATTTTTTTTACCTGAGAGGTGAAAACAAGTCCGTAGTTTATGCTCAGATATTTCCTACCAAAACATTTGGCCGTGGCTGTTGGAAACAGGGCAAAGCTGCCAGAGAATGACCCAAAGAGAAGGCACACAAAGAGAAAAAACACTGGCTTCCCTCCATATTCTGACAATTGCAAGGTCAGCATGAAAGTTGCAAAAGAGGCACAAGTAATCATCAGCGCAACCTGTACGGAATGGCAATATATTTTATTATAATTTATCAATTTTACATTTATTTTCATTAAAATTAATACTGCTAGTTTCCTTTCTTACATATTAAACCATTTGTTTTATTTTTAACTCACAAATAAAATTAATTAAACGACATTATTTGAGTGCACACACAAATATATAAAGCATCTTCAGTTTTAAAAGATTAAAAAGAACACTAACACAAGGATAAATAGTTGAATAGTGAAGAAATGTTATAAAACCAACCTACCCTGACTGAAAATTTGTCTGCCAGTATGCCCCATATAATTCTCCCTCCAGCATTGAAGAGTGCAGCAAATGCCCCAACCAAGGCTAGGAATGAGTCATCAGAAATGAATGTCTGACCATAGGCCTGGTTTATCACAGAGAACAGTTATTTCAGTACAACTATTTTCCTTACCTATTTATTTTTCAAAAGTATAATAAAATAATTAAATTTCTATGCATGTTTTAATAGGAAAATGTATTTCATTTACTGCAATAAAATTAGGTCTAGGTCTACATGTGTAACATACTAATTTATTTTACCTGAGGTAGCTATATGACTGCTAGACAGAAGTTTAGTTTACTATTTACATAACAATTTTCCTCGATTCGATTCTTAAATCGCTCAAGCATATCTGACCAAATTGTAAAAGTGAATGATGGGCATGCATAAAGCTGACCACACAATGTCATTAAACATGCTACCAAAACATTATATTGCTGTCAAAAATAATAATCACCAATACTTGTCAATGTTTTAAAATAAAAAATTGACTAATTATTGTTTTACCTTGTAATTTTTGTTTTAAAAAATCTGCCTTAAAACAAAAAACGTAACCAAACCTAGTACAGTGTTGATATAAAAACTGCCTTAAAACATAAAACATGTAGCCAAACCTTACACAATGTTGATATAAATACTGCTATAAAACTAAAATCATGTAACCCAAACCTTGTACAGTGTTGATATAAAAACACTGCCTTGTCCATTCAAGAGGAACATAAACCAAATGAGATAAAAATTCTTATCCCTCAGCATCTGAAGAGGTGGGACATCCAAATTATCATCTTCTTCCCTCCCTCTGTCAACAGAAAGAAAACCTACACTAAGAGACTAGCAACAAGCACACCATCAGTAACACCCATAAGTAACCCAAGTAGATGGACACCAGAAGAGCATCACTGTTCATGTGATAAAAACCACATAAAATATAATTTTTTGTTACAATCTAGTTTAAGATGTGTTCTAAACAGTGCAATAAACATCTGTCTTGTTGACTAACGGCAGGATGAATCTAAAATAAAATGTTAAGTTCCCTTTAACTTTCTGAAAGTAAAGACCATCAGTCTCTAAGAGCTAGATTAGGATTAACAGGTGAATCTGTGCCAATGTGGAATAGTAGCTAAGGTTCTTGTTTAACTAAACTTTGCTATATCTATACCTTTTTTGTCAAACCACTGAAATGTTTGTAATGCTACATCATTAACACTGCTGCCAACCACCTTTTTACATTCTGAAAAGCTACTGTACTTAATAGGCCCTTTGGACAGTGAGGTTGTGAAAGGGCAACTTATCAAATTCATCACTACATACAAATAAACCTTGATTGATGGTGTTCCTATGTTAGATATTTATTTACGTTAGATTATGTTTTTGTGGCCACCAATGCAGTCTTTACTATCTTCATATGTACGCACTAGGAACAGAGTAAGGATCAAAATAAAACAACATGGGATATTGATCAAACAATATCCTGAATGGGCATGCCCATGCATAAAAAAACAACCAGCTAATACATTATTTATTCTTTATAGCTGTGTCAATCAAAATGCAAAAAAATCTGATTACTTTAATGGTGCACTATAGATCTGCACAACATGGCAAAGTTTTCTATGCTTATGTGCTGAAACCAGATTTTTAAAGCCACAAAGTTTCCAATGCCCCAGTGTTCAAATCTATGCTGAAACTAACATTTCTATGCCATCATGCTGAATCCCAACTTTTCTATGCCCCTATGTTGAAACTATCTTTTTTATGCCCTTTTTGTTGAAACCATATTTTCTGTCCCTAGCTGAAACCAACTTTTCTATGCCACTCTCATGAAACTAACACTTTTATGCCCTACTTGTGTAAAGGTTTTTATGGCCCTATGTTTAAAAAATGTTTCAAATCCCCTATATTTAAACAATGGTTGTTTTTTTACCTATATTTAAACGATGTTTTTAATTTTATGCTTTTATTCCCTTATATTTAAACAAAGTCTTTATGCCCTTATATTTAAACAAAGTTTTTATGCCCCTATGTTTAAACTTAACATTCTCCTGTGTTTAAACGTAACTTTTGAAACATTCAACAGTATTTTTTTTTCCTGCAGCAACCAAGTCATGGAAACAACCCAAAATCATTCAGATGAGCTCAACAGATAAAATGTGACACAAGATCAATTAGATGCTAATGCTGCATCTGTTGCGGGGACACCTGCATCAAGTGTAAACAGCTGTTCCTTTAGAAGCAGTGCAGTGATCATGACATTTGTCACCAGCATTCAAGGTGAACAATTTAGTTTAGCCACATTTTAAAATAACACTGGGCTGGGTATATTTAGACTGTGGCAAGTTGACAACTAAATACAAACTGTTCATATATTTTGACATTCAATTACATAGAACAACATGAGCTTTGAATTAATTGTTTTTCCTCCCATTTTAGTGCCCACTTGGGTGTTCTCTCCCCCCCCCCCCCCATCCACACACACACACACACACACACTCACAAATTACTTTAAAAACTGCTTAGAAGTTAAACAAAAGCGATTTGGTGACCTACTTGTTGACTGTTTTTTCCACCTTGGTCAGAAGCTTTTGATCTTCTGTAACCTTATCAGGTACCAGGGTAGTTTTATCGTGGTCAGAATCCCTGTCATTTTCCATGTCATTCTGTCAAATACATTCAGAGAAAATGAAGACTGTATACAATTGTCAACTTTAACAAACATAAAGATTTTTCTGAAATATGGCTAAGATTTTAAAGATCTGGTAATTTAGTATTATTTTAGGTGAAGATGTTAATAAAACTGTAATAAGGTTAGGTTTTTTTATGTTAAGTTTGTGTTTTCATATTTTATAAAATTTTATGATTAATGTTCAGCTTGTAGAGGTTTTCGTGAAATAAACAGATAAACTGTAATCTAGCCTTTGATAATGGTTTCTTTAGATTTCCAACATGGTTTTAGAAACATTTACAAATGTCAAATTAAAACTTTTTTTTATTTAAGAGCAGAAAATAACAGACTATCAATGAATGATAATTTAAAACTTTTAAAAAATTTCAGTGTCAAGGACAAATTTACTATTAAAACATTGCTTGACAAAGTAAGATTAATTTGTGCATATATTAAATCATTAATTTTATTTTTTAGGGAAATACAAGTTTATTAGTCATTTTTACAGATGAGTAATACAATCATTAGTCATAAAGGCATTCAAACTACCAGTAAAATTATTAAATGTCTATAAAATGTTAATGAGCTCATGGATGTGTTAATAGAATTTACTGCTCCTTATAACCTTCAACACAGCAAACTTTATGACTCAGGCCTATATTTGCATAGATATCTGCTTTCATGATTTACTGTGTTTTTGAAGGGTTCGCTATTCCTGCAATTATGTTAATGATCTGAACAATGTATAATAATTATCACACTCAGAAACTCATCAATGGAAATAAATGAAAAATGTATCTCAAAAAATAGTTTTTAAATTTGTTGCTTTAGTAGTTTAGTCAGTAATATAGCTCTGACTATAAAGCTGTTAAACTTGTTTCAATCAGATGTCTTTATGTGGTTTATTAACGGTTAACAATTATCGTTTCTTAGTGGTTAGCAATTATCAAAACTCATAACAAATTTAACTGACAACAACTGAAACCCATGTTGGTGTCATTTACAAATTGTTTCAATTAGTCCAAACCTTCGTATAAACCAGCAGATAGTTTCTATTGGTCATCAAATCTTTACAATCAACAGTACATTATTTTAAACTAATAAGGTTATACAATTAAATAAACAAAGATTTTAGAAGGATCATTAGTTTAGCTGGTGTTAGTTGATTTTTTAAATTTCACCTCAAAATATGTTACAATGTAAGCACTTTCAACAGCATAAAAATATTTGGAATATATTTTTGTGTGCTAGAAGAAAGTGAATACAAAGTAAAATGGACACTTGAATAGTACAGGAAGTCATAGAAATAATGAACAAACACCAAGTGGATAAACAATTGTGTATGTAAATAAAGATCTACTTCCTCAAAATGATTTGTGTGACAAAGCTTTAATAAGTAGTAAGTGGTGTCAAGAAAAAAAATTACATTTAGAGAAGAGCAATGAGATACCTAGAACACTGTTAATTAAAACAGCAGGGGTTCCCAACCCCGTGCACGCGGGCGCCATGGCGCCCACAGAACGATTCGTATGTGCCCGCCTCTCACTATTCGACAGAGACAGAATTTTTTTCATAAACATTATTGAAAGGTTGAAGGGGATGGAAATCGAAAGTTTAAGGAGGGGGGGGTGCACATTTAAAATTTGAAAGGGGGGGTGCAAATCAAAAATTTGAGGTGGGGGTGCAAATCAAAAATTTGAGGGGGGTGTGCAAATCGAAAATTTGAGGGGGGGGGGGGTGCAAATTGAAAGTTTGAGGTGGGGGGGGGCTGCAAATCGAAAGTTTTGTCCCCGGGTGACAGGAAGGGTCGCTACGCCTCTGGAAGGAATTAGTCGATTTAAAATAGGTGGTGCCCCCCCACCCTACCGATATTTTAGAATGTGCTCTAGAGTAAAAAAAGGTTGGGAACCCCTGAATTACAGTTTAAGGTTATTGGGGGGGGGGGGGGGGGGGGGTGAGAAATAGCATAAAAAATATTTAAATAAAAATCTGTTGTTCTCAATTAAAAAATTTAAGTTTTCTAAACATAAATTAATGATTCATTGATAGGTTTAACACTTGTAATGCTTGATAATAGATCACTAACAATGATGATGCTACAGTTCTTTATAAAATATGGATGTAACTGTATTCAGATAGGGCCCATTCAAGATTTAATGAAATGTTTTCTTCTGTTTTCTTATAACTGAATAATTTTAAAATCCAAATCAATTCAATGTTAATACTAAAACATGAATTTAAAAAAAAAGTTTACAACATAAACAAACTATTTGCAACAGTCAACTGTGAACAATTGTATGACATTTGATCTGGCCAGTGCCTACAGCTTCATGCAACTACAAGTGTGAACATTTGTGTGACCTGCTTGCATAAAGTGTATAGCTTGATATCTAATTGTAACAGCAGTAGGTTTGTGTTCACACTCTTCATTGTTTAAGTTAAGAAGTTTATAAATAAATTACCATTGCATGAGCTAGATATCTAGGCTACAACAAAATTAGCAGTATGTCTGATTAGCTTATAAGGATAAAGCTGACAGTTAAAGAAAGTGCTTCTACAGTAAACATGCAAAAAGTGTGTGAGAAGTCAGCAGTGTGATATACAAGCTATATCTAGACATTGTGTTATACAAGCTACATCTAGACATCAGTGTGATATACAAGCTACATCTAGACTTCAGTGTGCTATACAAGCTATATCTAGACTTCAGTGTGCTATACAAGCTATATCTAGACAGTGTGTTATACAAGCTATATCTAGACAGTGTGTTATACAAGCTACATCTAGACATCAGTGTGTTTTACAAGTTATATCTAGACAGAACTGTGATATACAAGCTATATTTAGAAAGCAGTGTGATATAAAGGTATATCTAGTGTTATACAAACTACAATTTGACAACAGCGTAATATATAGGCTGCATCTAGCAAATACAAGCTACATTTTCTAGACTATAGTAAGATACTATGCCTACAACTAGACTACAGTGTGATATACATTTTGTATATACTAGCTACATTTTCTGGACTACAGTGTGATATACAAGCTTCAACTTGTTCAACAAATGAAACTGTTCAATAAAATTTAAACACTTACAACTGTTTCGAAATATAGTGTCACCTTGAACAGATAAAAGACAACAATAATTGTGCATACAGCTTAACTATGTGATGATTTATCATTAAGAGCTTGCATGTATATAGTTCACATTAGCTTCATTGTAGAAGATTTTTTTAAAGATAGCATTTATCCAGTAATGGCATCATGCAAATTTAACATATTGCTCTTCCCCCCCCCCCTTTTTTCTTATCATAATTATTACACAAACATTCCCTTTTCCTTAAAAAAAATATATGCTATGTCAAATTCAAAACCCCACACCCCCTCCACACACACACACAAACCCTCCACACACACCACATCATCATCCAAGTTGGAAATACATAATTCTGGGTACAGCCCCCCCCCCCCCCCCCCCCCCCACCTCTCCTACCCACCGCTGGATGGTGCATAAAGATCCAATGAGCCATAGATTACCAATGTTCATTTAACTATAAATATAACACATTCTTGTAGATAGGGTCAAGCTCTATGTTTCCCTACAGGGCCTAAGTGAAAATACTTATCAGCTATCCCATCTAATTAGTTGCTAGTAAACCCTACACAGAGCAAAGGGCATACACATTAACACACATGTTATCTACCCTTCCTCAATAGTGGGATAATTTTATAAGAGCAAACCCCCATATAACACTATCAACCTTACCTCAACAGGGGGAGGGTTACATAACAGCAAACTTCCTATAAGCTGCATGCCAGCATAGCATCCTCCTAGTATGAGAAAGATGTATGGAACTTGGTCAAGGACATCAGGTTGATCAAAATACCTGTCAAGATAGTGGACATAAGTGCTTAAACTTACATTATTATTCCAAAGTAGTTTACAGATCAAAGAAAGTCTAAAAGTTGAAAAATTAAGTGGGGAATTGATTTTTATACACCACTGATATATTTTAAGTACACATAAACAAAATTTAATTCGAATTTAAACACTCTCACACTTTTTATATTTCAATTTTAAGATATGGAGATCCTTGAAGCATTATACCCTTTCTATGCATTTGACATAAAAAGTAGCTGTCTCATCAGTCCCCAACCACTGATGGGTACCCATTAGAGCTGGGTAGAAAACTATTACTTGTACCTGGATCATGGGCTTAATCACACATGGTTACTCAAACAGAATGGGTGGAAAAGGGTTAACTTACTTTTCCCCATTGACCTCTAGTTCAGGTTTTTTGTTTTCTGGGTTGATGAAAGCTGTCTGCTTAACCACACATGGTTACTCAAACAGAATGGGTGGAAAAGGGTTAACTTACTTTTCCCCATTGACTTCCTGTTCAGGTTTTTTGTTTTCTGGGTTGATGAAAGCTGTCTGCTTAACCACACATGGTTACTCAAACAGAATGGGTGGAAAAGGGTTAACTTACTTTTCCCCATTGACCTCTAGTTCAGGTTTTTTGTTTTCTGGGTTGATGAAAGCTGTCTGTATCTGGTTAAAGATGAAAGCTCCACCCCCAAACCCAGCAACTACAAGACCGTTGACCAAACCTTTTTTCTCTGGAAACCACTTTAGGTAAAAAAAAAATATTGTAATTAGACTTTTAAAAAACCAATGTACTTATATATATAGAAAGCTTTATTACTACTCAAATTAATCAAATTTCAATTTCTATTGCACAAAGTAGCTTTAACTTTAAATCTACTGAATATTCTTTAAAAATATTTTTTAAAACTTTCTTTCCACTCTCAAGCTATCAAAGTAATTCAGTTGCTTCTAGAACACATTATCTCTATAAATAAGCTATGTATCATAACACTAAGTAAAACAACAAAATAGTGTTAACCTACTCTCATTGAACATGCCAATGGAATGGCATACACAATACCAATACCAAAACCAAAGACTGCACCATAGGTGAAGATAGTCAAAGCAAATGACTGTTTGACAGCAAAGTATGTAAGGAAAACACCAAGGCTGAAAGTGAAAGATTGAATTCATTCATTAGATCTAAATCCAACACTTTTTTTAAATTTGCATTGTAACATTCGCTTTATGTACAAATGAAAATCTGTTTTAGTTTTGGACAATAGTTTCGGAGCTATGAAATAAAATTCAGAAAATACTTTTTAATAGCTACATTTTTAAAGGATACTTTCTTCACAAGTAGAGGGAGTTACTTTAAGAGGGCATTTAAAAACAATTACATTTTTTCATAGCTCTAATGCTGACAAACATAAATAAATCAAAATAACTACAAGCCCTAAATCTACACCACTAAAAATTATGTGTCTACATCTCAAGATAAATAAATGTTTAAAACACAAATGTTTGCATGTATAAACAAATAAAAATAATTTAAATAACATAATCAATATCCAATATCCCCTGTGTATTGCCTATACCTCTAAGTTGCCAAATATGATAAATGAAAAACAATTGCTGAGGTCACAAATGTAATTTTAAAATTTCCCAGACATAATCACACCTCTCTTTACCTCATACACCAGCCTCCAAGAAGTGCAGTTAGTTTAGGCCCAATCCTCTTCTCAATGAGACCTCCCAATGCCATGGAAGCACCTTGACCCATACAAGCTAGGGCAAATATCCAAGAGCATTCTGTGTATGTGAGGGAGGCTGAGGTACCTTTGGCTCTCATGTATGACGTCAAATATGGATTTAAATTCCCTGTGCAAGGATGATGGTAGTATACTTAAATTGAACAATTATTTTTTATGAACGATAAGTTTTTGTAAATATATGTTGTTAAGTTTACATTCCAAGAATAGAATTTGTGAATATCAATTGGTGAGTTAGGTAAGATATATAAAATTAAATAACACTTTAAAAAATTTTCTAACAATGCAAAAATATTCAGTAGTAATTTTCTAGCTTGAAAGGTTTTCTATCTTAAGCTTAGGCAACTTAATATTAATGTAACAAATATCTATACCAAAAGTGTAGAGAGTTCCTAGGGATAAATGAATCAGTATTCCACCAAAAACAACCAAAATGCCTTTCCATCTTTCAATTCCGAATAGTGGCCAAGACATCTTTAGCTTTCCTGATAAATTATTTAAGAAATAAGCACTGGTTTACCAATAAACAACTGAATCATTGAGACTTTTCAACCTGCAAATAAACAAAATACTTTTTTTTAGATTCCAGCATGTTATTAGCTTTACATAGATATTAAAGATATTAAAACCAGCACCATAGTTTCATCATACAATTTAATATGCACCAATAGAAATGTTGCAAATAATACTAACACATCGAGCTCTAAAGTTAGGCTAGAGTATAAAGAATAATATCTATTCATTACTTTCCTAAGCTGCTATTACTTTGTTTTTAGACTATCATTAATGAAATTTTTCATAATTTTCCCTGAGATAATTTCTCCTTTCACACTTTGATTAAGCCTATATGTGAATATTAAGATATGGCAGGGTTAGGGTAAGATTAAGATTAGAGATCAATATTCTTGATTTTAAACATACATTGCATTCACCAGTGGATTTCTTACTTTTTAAATTCATGCTTTCAGTAATGGACTCTTGGTCCAATTTAACAGAATAGTAAAAAAATAAAACATTCAGTACACTACAGAAAAAAATTATCAATTAATTTGATCTGCAAAAAAAATAGGCTGACATAGACCTAGCCCTGTTATCTCACTCATTCTAGCCCTGCAACCATAAAACTACCTCTAGCCTTAATTCTTTATCTGACCTTAACTAAATAGTGTTACACTCTGACCAGGGCGGGCATAAAACAGATTTTAAATTCATAATTACAATTCAACAGTTTAAAAATATCAAAATGTACATGTCCATCTCTACAATATGGCTTAATAAATATGTACCATATAAAAGCATTGTATTTGTTATCAGTATGAAAAAACTTACAATGAAAACTCCTTTAATGAATTATTCATATCTGATAGACTGAAATAAATATGATATTGATAACCTGATAAGTATGACTGGCTAAACTTTAAAGGCCTTTTAAATAGGCTTATTCTCACAGTTCATTTTTTAAAAAAAGTTAGTTAAATAGCCTTGTGAAGGTGATGTTATTTTTAAAAAGATATATGCACTCAGTGTCTATGCCTTTGGTTAGCCTTAACAATTATTCTGTCTGATTCATTAGAAGATGAGTAAGCTCTAAGCTACACTCATTCCACTTTTTATAACAAATTAAACAACTAACTTATTAAATTTATTTACAATTTACACAACACAGTACTGGATTGTATCTACACTTTTTCCTATTACTAAGTTGCTACAGTCAGCCAAAGAGAACATGGAGAAGAACGGTTGAGTAAGAGGCAAAGAACGCTGGGCTCACATGGGCACAGATAAAGGGAGCAGTCTTAAACCGAGTCCGGTGGAGAGGTGTTATTGAAGCCCTTTGCTCCCCAGGGGCCACAAAGGAAAAATGAATGAATGAAGTTGCTACAGTAAGGGTTAGGGCCGCTCAGTAATAATAAGGTCTTTGAGATATGGTCAGGATAAGGCATTAAGACCTACGTTAGGTCAGTTCTAGAGTCAGCATTTCAGAATTAGGCCTAATGGTTAGACTACTAAACTAGGGGTTTGGTAGAATATTAGTAGGATATTAATCTCACAAAAAGTATGTTAATTTTTAAAGTGACATTTTACGGTAATTAATAAAGGTCTGAAGACTAAACACTAAGATTGCTTGATTAGTCTAATTACTTCTATGATTGTAAATGTAAATTTAATAGACCCATCATTAATGATAAGCTTATTGTAAATATCAAATAATAATAGTAGACAGCCAAACATTGCACCCTGGTCCTCCAGGTTGGGGGTTGTGCGATGGGCTAACTACTAGTCCACAAATAAAATATAGTTACAGAAACTAGGCCAAATCTGAAATTAATCCAGTCTTCGGAAGCACCAGGACTCCACTTAGGAGAAGTAAGACACAATGCAGCTAAACCGGCAAGGAAGCTACAGAGCCGAAGCCACCTTCTTCATATATAGAAGGCAATAGGCTTATGGCATGCCATAGAATAGACTCAGTATAGAGCACCCTGGGCTCCCCTGAGAGCACTATGGCATCTACACCCTACAATAGAAACACGGTGGCACATGACATTCGATAACTAAAACGAACTAGGGGCACCCCAGTAGTACTGTAACCAGTGGCTCCCGAGATCGCCCAATGCCCCTGACAACTGAACCCAGCATCTAGGATACAAGAAGTATCACAATTTACCAACACCTTTAATAATTAAGCCTAGTTAATGTATTAAGTATTATTATTAAAATACTTCTCTCAGTAAGCATCAGTCGCATTTCACTTCACAACTGCCACAGATCACAACAATTACAATAGTTTAATTTTTAAATGGTCTGGATCTAGAGAATCTAGAATTTGAGGATCTAGTTTTCCTGCTTAATAGTTTAATAAAGTATGATCTATTATTAGCATGCCATATGATAATTCATAATACTATAAAGTAGTACTCGGTAATAAGCCTATAAGGCCATAAAGCAAGGTAAACTCAAGTACACTGTAAGACAAATCTAACAAGAGTCTAGATCTAGATCTAGTTTCTACACAACAGGATAGCTCAGACTACACAAATAATCTATCTTTATAAAAATAAAATCATAATCTAGGCCTAATTATTATTATTAGCTAGATTTTAGAAATGTAACTACTACAAAAGACTAGATATAAGACTACACAGTCAGTGACTAGATTCTCTAATAGTAATATTAATGTGATATGTCAATGATTGAAATTGAATTGATTGTAGATCTGGAATCTAAATGAATCCACTGTTGTAAACTGTTCTGTTGCCATCCCAGCTGTGAAATTTAGTTTAGGTAGACTAGACCTACTTACTATAATTTACGATCTAATTTTTATACTATACTATATAGATCTAGATTCTAGATAAAAGTGCATAGGTCATAGATCTATTTAATATTTAATTATATTAAAATTTAGACATCGAAATCTAGACTACTGACACAGCTTGCGAGCTCATTATCAGATGAACATATTGTTCTTGTAATTGTTGTCTGCTTCTGTCACTTCAATCTTGTCAATGGAGATAACTCAAAAATACTTTAATAGAAAAGGAGTAACATATCTTGATTGGGCCGACTCTCCTAATCGACACTTAAAAATCTGGCAAATTCAATTTCGTCTCTCCTAATTTAAATGAGGAGTTCAGTACCACAGACAGTGGGGTAGGAGTTAGACTTTTAAAATGGAAATTATTAGTTACCTAAATAGGCCTTGATCTGAATCAGAGTTTCTTCCAGGCATCTCCCGCCCCCCCCCCCCTCCGAAGAAAGTCTGCCAGTCCGCCCACCTGCCCCCCGAAAACAGTCTGGAAGAAACACTGATCCAGTGCTTTTTCCAGTCTTATTTCTCCGGGGGGATGGGGCGGTAGACTTTCTTCGGGGTGGACACTGTTAAAAGAATATATATTTCTATATAAATTATATAAATTTCAAGTTCCCCCTCCCCCGGAGAAAATAGTCTGGAAGAAATCTAGGGGGGGGGGGGGGGAGGGTAGGCCTAGGTTTGCTGTCATTTTAGTTAGGGGGAGTGGTCTGGCTTTTTTTGTGGCGATGGGAAGAAAGTAAATTAAAATGACTGAAAGAAACACTGGAAAATATTTAGCAAATTTTATCCTCCAGATAGTCCAGACCATACTGTCATGTGACAACCGTGTTTTTTCTTCTTTTTTAACACGTTTTTAAAACGTTTTTCTTAACTCAGCTTCGCGTTTGTTTGTTTGTTTGGTTGTTTGGATGTTTGTTGTTAAAATTGACATCGAAAATTAGCCCACTTCTGATTGCTCTAGAGACCTGAAATTTGGCATGCATGCTACTTTCGCCTAACAATTTCAGATGCAATCATAAAAACTAGCAATTAGTGACCGTAATTAGCTTAATTTAATTACGCCCCAAGGACCATAAAATTGAGGACATGATTTCTAAAGATACCGACAAGACTTGAGGCCTATTGACACAGTTACTTCGGCCCCAATCGATGTGAGCGCGCTGGCCGTGATCGTATAGTGGTTAGTACTTCGCGTTGTGGCCGCGACAACCCAGGTTCGAATCCTGGTCGCTCAAGATTTTTAGTCCGTGTATTTATAAACACTTTTTTAAAAACCACGTTTTTCATGTGTAGCAACGGACTAAAAAGGAGAAAATAAAATACTTAAAAAAAACTTTTTAAAAAACCACGTTTTTTATGTGTAGCAACGGACTAAAAAGGAGAACGGACACGGTAACACATTGTTAACGGTGACACGGTTGGTACGCTGGGCATGCTAAAATACACATCAACACGTTTTTCCTTAACTCAGCTTCGCGTTTATTTGTTTGTTTATGGGAGATTTGATCACGTGATTCGTGAGTAGATCTCCACGCCAGCAACGTAAATTACACCCTTTCTCTGCTTAAAGCGTATCGGTCGCTCAAGATTTTTTTAGTCCGTGTATTTAAAAACACTTAGTCAAGTCATACTTAATCAAGTGATTAGATAAAGTAGAAAATAAACTATATAAAAAACTTTTTAAAAACCACGTTTTTCATGTGTAGCAACGGACTAAAAAGGAGAAAATAAAATACTTAAAAAAAACTTTTTAAAAAACCACGTTTTTCTTGTGGACTAAAAAGTAGAAAATAACTATTTACATACATTTGATGACAAAAAACGTGGGTCGGGCAGATGGGTCGGGAAATTTGATGGTGAACGTACCCACGTTTTTTGTCATCAAATGTATGTAAATAGTTATTCTTAACTCAGCTTCGCGTTTGTGGATTTGTTTGTTTGTTGTTAAAATTGACATCGAAAATTAGCCCACTTCTGATTGCTCAATAGATCTGAAATTTGGCATGTAGGCTACTTTCGCCTAACAATTTCAGATGCAATCATAAAAACTAGCAATTAGAGACCGTAATTAGCTTAATTTAATTACGCCCCAAGGACCATAAAATTGAGGACATGATTTCTAAAGATACCGACAAGACTGGAGGCCTATTGGCACAGTTACTTCGGCCCCAATCGATGTGAGCGCGCTGGCCGTGATCGTATAGTGGTTAGTACTTCGCGTTGTGGCCGCGACAACCCAGGTTCGAATCCTGGTCGCTCAAGATTTTTAGTCCGTGTATTTATAAACACTTTTTTAAAAACCACGTTTTTCATGTGTAGCAACGGACTAAAAAGGAGAAAATAAAATACTTAAAAAAAACTTTTTAAAAAACCACGTTTTTTATGTGTAGCAACGGACTAAAAAGGAGAACGGACACGGTAACACATTGTTAACGGTGACACGGTTGGTACGCTGGGCATGCTAAAATACACATCAACACGTTTTTCCTTAACTCAGCTTCGCGTTTATTTGTTTGTTTATGGGAGATTTGATCACGTGATTCGTGAGTAGATCTCCACGCCAGCAACGTAAATTACACCCTTTCTCTGCTTAAAGCGTATCGGTCGCTCAAGATTTTTTTAGTCCGTGTATTTAAAAACACTTAGTCAAGTCATACTTAATCAAGTGATTAGATAAAGTAGAAAATAAACTATATAAAAAACTTTTTAAAAACCACGTTTTTCATGTGTAGCAACGGACTAAAAAGGAGAAAATAAAATACTTAAAAAAAACTTTTTAAAAAACCACGTTTTTCTTGTGGACTAAAAAGTAGAAAATAACTATTTACATACATTTGATGACAAAAAACGTGGGTCGGGCAGATGGGTCGGGAAATTTGATGGTGAACGTACCCACGTTTTTTGTCATCAAATGTATGTAAATAGTTATTCTTAACTCAGCTTCGCGTTTGTGGATTTGTTTGTTTGTTGTTAAAATTGACATCGAAAATTAGCCCACTTCTGATTGCTCAATAGATCTGAAATTTGGCATGTAGGCTACTTTCGCCTAACAATTTCAGATGCAATCATAAAAACTAGCAATTAGAGACCGTAATTAGCTTAATTTAATTACGCCCCAAGGACCATAAAATTGAGGACATGATTTCTAAAGATACCGACAAGACTGGAGGCCTATTGGCACAGTTACTTCGGCCCCAATCGATGTGAGCGCGCTGGCCGTGATCGTATAGTGGTTAGTACTTCGCGTTGTGGCCGCGACAACCCAGGTTCGAATCCTGGTCGCTCAAGATTTTTAGTCCGTGTATTTATAAACACTTAGTCAAGTCATACTTAATCAAGTCATTAGATATAGTAGCAAATAAACTAAATAAAAATTTTTTTTAAAAAACAACGTTTTTCATGTGTAGCAACGGACTAAAAAGGAGAAAATAAAATACTTAAAAAAAACTTTTTAAAAAAACACGTTTTTCATGTGTAGCAACGGACTAAAAAGGAGAAAATAAAATACTTAAAAAAAACTTTTTAAAAAACCACGTTTTTCTTGTGGACTAAAAAGTAGAAAATAAATTTTCATACATTTGATGACAAAAAACGTGGGTCGGGCAGATGGGTCGGGAAATTTGATGGTGAACGTACCCACGTTTTTTGTCATCAAATGTATCAAAATTTATTTTCTACTTTTTAGTCCACAAGAAAAACGTGGTTTTTAACAAGAAAACGTGGTTTTTAAAAAAGTTTTTTTTAAGTATTTTATTTTAAATGTATTTTTGCTTTGACGGTTTAGTTTAGCATAGAACATGGATTCACTATATTAGGCCATTAAAAATCGTTCGTAACTCGAAACATTCGTAACCCGAGATGTTTGCAGATTGTACGATGTGTCGCTTGGTAAAAAAAAAAAAAACTCCTATTTTTTAGCGCAATTTCCATACGGACAATTGCGATTATTAACTGTCATTTCTGGATGGATGGATGAATGAATGGATGTGTGTCCGCAGCTTTAAGTGGTATCTCCTACTCAACGAAGCAATATCGAGGACTAGTTCCAAAAGCAAATATGTTAAGCAAGTTCCAAGGATGATTGTGGGCCAAAATAATTCCCGGAATTCCTTCCTGGATTTCCCGGAAAAGCCAAAAAAACCTCGAACAAATGCAGTTTTTGGTCCATATCTCGGCAACCAGACCACTTAGCGACTTGAAACATTTACCAATCGATTCCTGCCATAATTAAGAACAATATTGCCGAAGAAAGTTTTCAAAAATATCCTTTCGTTCGGTCACAAAAAAATAATTAAGAATTTTTAAACTGAGCATCGTGTAGGCCTAGGATGATATTTTTAATTTAAACTGAGCATCGTGTAGGTTTTTAGATCAAAAAAATATAATTTCGTTCGGTCACAAAAAAAATAAAAATTGTTATGGATAACATAAGGAAATTGCGCTTAAATTGTCCCTAGACTTTTTATTAACTTGTTTTTTTATTTGTCGAGTCATTGTCGAGTTACTAGACCCATGCTCAACGTGTACGCTCCGTCAAAAGTTTAATACTAAAAGTTACAATTTCGAATCTTACGATTGGGCAGACGAAGTTGAGTTCACCTGTTTCAGTGACCTCAGTTGATCTCAGCATATGAAAAGATAGTGTGGTCAGCACTATGCCCATCCGCCTCTACTTTCCTTTAAGTTAGTCAGGTACTCAGGGACGTCCTATAAATTACTCAAGTCCGGGATCCGAACTCGGTCGAAACTATCGGGTTAGCAGTTGCACGCTCCGCCTTCCGACCACGATTAAGTAATTTCTCCAAAGACATTACCCCCTCCCTATATATATATATATATATATATATATATATATATATATATATATATATATATATATATATATATATATATGTTACGGTCAAAGCCCGAAGTCGGCCAATGCTAGGATTGGCCGGCCAATCCGCGCATTGGCTTTTATCGCCTCCCATAGGTCGGTTAAAGTTTGAAACTTTGCTTGCTTTCGGCCTTTGGCCGGCCAATCCGCAGACTGGCCATGGTGGACCGGCCAAAGTCCGAATTAGAAGATCATGAGCAGATTTTGGTGTTTTTTTTTGTGCCGTAAGGATCATGAAATTAAGTCTTTATTGATTATTAATTAAAGTAAATTACAGAAACATTCAAATTTTTTATTGTACTATAGTCTCAATCTAACAATAT